AACATGACAGATTTAATTAAGAAATACGACCATCTGTTCACTGGTGATGGCAATCCATACAGTTATTGCGACAAGGTGAATCATGAAATTCCGTTAACTAATCCAAAAGTAATGTCATTTACATCGCGAAGAATACCATGTCATCTGGAAGGCGAAGTGAAGCGACAAGTGCAAGAGATGTTAAAAGACGATATTATTGAAGAAGCTGATAGCCCGTACAACTCTCCAGTGCTGTTAGTAAAGAAAGCGAATGGGAAGTATAGATTCTGTGTTGACTTTCGACAATTAAACAGTATGACAGAGTTAAAACCGTGTGCCATGCCAACAGTGGTGGAAACTTTAGACCGCCTACAAGGCGCGAATGTGTTTTCCGTTTTCGATCTTCGCTCAGGGTACTGGCAGATACCGATAAAACCAGGTGATAGAGATAAGACGGCATTCAGCGTGGGCCAGACACAATATCGATTTAAACGCATGCCGTTTGGACTAGCAGGTGCACCGTTTACCTTCAGAAGACTGATGACGCTATTACTTAGGAACTTGAAAAACGTGGAAGTGTATGGTGATGATCTCGTGATATACAGTCAAAACGAAAACGATCATGTGAAGCATGTAGAAGCCGTGCTGCGACGCATCGAAGAGTTTGGACTGCGCATTAACAAAACCAAGTCCCAGATAGCCAGAAAGAATGTTACTCTGTTAGGACATAAAGTAGGAAATGGTGAGATTAAACCACTACCGGAGAAAATTTTGACGATTAAAACAATTCCAGCCCCGAATTCAAAGAGGAAATTGAGGCAATTCTTGGGTAGAGCGGCGTTTTATAGTCGCTTCGGGAAGAACTTCAATGAGATAGCAGCCCCTCTATACAGGCTACTAGGTGAGCCGAAGTTTGTTTGGTCGGAAGAATCGCAGAGGACATTTGACAGAATTAAACACCTGTTCGACCACCAACAAATGACGCTAAAACTACCTGTACCTGGAAGACAGTTTACAGTGTGCACAGATGCCAGTGACTACGCCATAGGTGCGGTCCTAAGACAAGGTGATGGAATCGTTGAGTATGCCAGTCGGGTTTTAACACTCGCAGAGAGAAAGTATTCAACGATAGAGAAAGAATGTTTAGCAATGGTATGGGCAGTCGACAAATGGCGACCTTATTTACTCGGCCGGCGGTTCCACATCGAAACCGATCATAAGCCGCTACAATTTTTGAAGACAGCGAGAGACCCACGGGGGAAATTGTCACGGTGGATGTTGCGTCTTCGGGAGTACGATTTTACGATCTCACACGTTCCTGGAAGTGAAAATGTCTTGGCAGATTTGTTATCGAGACCAGAAGACGAGCCTGAGTTGCCCGAGGTCGCTTACGGAGTGCATGCTGTAGAACAAGACCCACTAAAACTTGCACGCAAGCAAAGGTTGGATGATACGCTGAATACAGTGATACAGGTGATAACCAACGGGATAGAAGTAGATCAAGCTACAGCGAGTAAGGAGCTAACCACACTACTCAGACAGAGAGATCGACTAAGAGTGAATGCCTACGGGACTCTGACCTGGCGAGAGAACGACGGAAGCTGGCTGGCTATCATACCTCAGTCCTCGCGCCACGACATGATAGAAGAATGTCACCAGCTAGCACATACAGGCGTGGCCAGAACAACTGACCTCCTAAGACAAAGCATGTACTGGCCAGGTATGAGAGAAGACGTAGCAAGATACGTACTTGGATGTCCACGGTGCCAGCTAATGAAAGGCGACCGGTGCATACGACCACCGCTTCAGTCGATTCCAGTTACAGCGATAGGTGACTTGTGGTCCGTAGATGTCATGGGTCTATTTCCTCAGACATCTAATGGTAATCAGTACCTCCTGGTGATGACGGAACACGCGACACGATGGGTAGACGCCGTAGCGATCCCAGATCAACGTGCAAAGACCGTGACAGACGCAGTAGTTAAACACATCGTTGCAGACCACGGCGTACCAAAGACGATACTGACAGACCAAGGTCCCTGTTTCGAGAGTGAAGAATTTACTTCCCGTTTGCAACAGCTGGGCATCAAGAGGATCAGAACGACCCCATATCATCCACAGACGAATGGCCTAACGGAGAGAAACAACCGTACACTGAAGGAGTGGCTGGCCTCGAAGGGCGGTAACTGGGAGACGGAGCTTCCACTGATTTTACTGACGCATCGGGCTACCACTCAGGAAACAACGAAGAAGTCACCCTTTCAACTGATGTATGGTAGAAAACCACAATTACCGATACACAACGAGACCTGGCCCCTTCACCAAAAGTGGAGTACGACGAAATTAAAAGCAGAGCGGAAAGAGGCCGTCAAGAATGTAATGCGGAAGCAGCGGAGTGATGTCGCGAAGTCTCAGATGAAAGAAAAGACGCGGTGCATCACCTTTGCAGTCGGGGACCAAGTGAAGTGTAGAGACAGGAGATATACAGTTGGAGGCGGGCCAGGTTCACGGAAAATCCTGCCAAAGTGGGAAGGACCATACACAATCACAAAAAGACGGGGTCAAGTATATACCGTCCGAAGAGGTGACAAACAGAAACGAGTTAATGCCAGTCAGCTCCAACGATGGGTACAGTGGGACAAGCCGATCAGCAACAATCCTCAACTAGAGGATGTAGCACCAAGAAGGTCGGAACGCCTGCGTACGAAGCTATTTGACGGGGGGACGAGTGTGGTGAGAGCAAGCTGCTAGCCAATTGGTAGACATTGATCTACGCTGATTGGTAGAAATTAATCTAGGCTGATTCAACAACCAATCACAGCTGACCTAAACGTGGACAAATATGATTCGCAGACAAGTGGCTCGCATTTCCGAAAAATATCGAAAACGAGAAAGCAGAAGACTGCGTTTGTTTGCAAACAACCAATCAGAAGACCGCCTTCTTTCTGCGGGCAAAAGCCTTATTAATGTACGTAAAATACATATAAATACCTGTTGGTTTTCGTAATAAAACTGATCTGTTGCCAGCCTTGTCTTCTGTTGTTACACATACACAAAAGTGCTCCCTTCACGTGATTGGTGCGTTCGAGGTCATTAGCTGGTTGGTGGTAGTTATTAAAGCTTAAAGTTTCACTTTGCCTACCTTCATTAATCTAAAGTCAGTGTGGAAATCTGCTACACTCCACGTGAAGAACTGTTTTGGAGTGAATGTATGTAAATATGACTATCGAGATACAACGGACGATGATGAAACGACTGGTATTGCTTAGTAGTTAAATACCCTCACTCGAAGAGTAAATTTAGAAGACCTACAAGTTGACGAAGGATATGTATATTACTCCAACAAGAAAAATTAACTGTCATACAAAAGTGTGAATGGAAAAGTTGCAGCAAAACACATCATGGGGGCAGGGTCGTCTGCTCTACACGAATTATCATCAGTTGAAAGACCATCGTTTAATGAATACATATTTGACTTTGATGCAGAACAAATGACCTGAGAATATTAAATCAAACATGAACAAAAGCTCTATAGCCGTTGAAGTTCAGAAAAAGGTTCCCCTTGTGGCCCTCATGAATTTGTTTCCAGTCACTCTTTAGTTAGTTTTTCGACGTTACAATTAGAAGTCCTATCTTTAGGATTGTGACCTGCAATCAACATATTGGAATCTGATTGGTCGATCATCTAGTCGTCTGCTTGCTGCGTAGGCGTCCTATCAATTCTCCAGAATTTGATTGGTTGACAATTGTCTGACTAACGTGTGTATACAGGAAATCAATACTTGGTTAAATTTTACCATAGATTTCCTTTGGAAATTGAAATTATTCAAATCACTATTATGTGTGATCCGCTTAGTACCATAAATGCATGAGACCATATGCAAATGAAAAACAACAAGTTGGCAGAAGAAGCATCCAGCGAAGAGAGGCCTTCAGGTGAACATAGAGAAAACAGAGGTGACGAAGATTCCTGGCCGACTGCAAAGGCAAACAATAACAGAACAATCAGCATAAATGGGAGAAATCTGAAAAAAAAAACAACCTCCTTTGTCTACCGGGGAAGCATCTTTTCAACTACAGGTGGAACTGATGAGGATCGTGAGAGTAAGGCAAACTTTCCTTACTCTCAAGTCTGTGTGGAGGTCAACACTCAGCACTCAGCATGAAAAATAGGATCCGGATTTTCAACTGCAATGTGAAGTTAGTCAGTGCTTCTATACGAATCAGGGACTTAGCGCCGCGTCACAAAGAGCACTTCAAACAAACCACAGACCCTCATCTAAAACTAGCTGTCTTCGCTCAATACTACTCAAGATCAGATGTCTAGGTGGAAAAGATCAGCAACAGGGAGGGATCTCTGGCAATGAGTGAAAAGACCCAGCAGGGACTAATTGTGCAAGAAATATGCAGGAAGAAATGGAGGTGGATTTGCTGGCCATACTCTGAAAAAAAATACCATCAAGTGAGTGACATCACACGCCAGGCCATCACTCGAGTTGAACCCGAATGGGAAGTGGCGAGTTGGTCGTTAGTGCGAGGGTGACATGGAGGCGGAGGAGGTCATGAGAGGAGAGGATATGAAGGCATTTGAGCAGACGTAGAGCCAGGTGAAAACGTTTGCAGAGAACCGAACGCAATGGAGACATGCGGCTGAAGCCTCGTGTTCCTCTAGGAACTAAAGGAAACAATAATAATAATAATAGTCGGTATGATTAGCTGGATTCCATTCACATCAACTAGTAGAAGTGCTAGCTAGACAGATTGAGGTGATGTAGACTCGGGACAGCCATTTCTCTGATTTAAGGCTGAGGTCATCAGCAATGTACGTGGTTTTAACTCAGCTCAGAGATCCGAAACAGTTCAAACTACCCGATCAGAATATCGATCTAGTTCTCGTAGCTATAAAACGCAGTGTAGAGATCCATTTTTTTTGAACACTTTCCATTTTGTTTTATTTTTTATTTATATTGCTTTTTGATGTTTGTTTGTTTTTCTTGTTTTGTCCGCATTATGGCATTTAGACGTATTTATAATCTATCAAAATTACCGCCTCCATTGCTTGAACAGATGCTTAGCAACAAAAACTCCAAACATTGTAATCATCATTCTAACCATTCTGGTCATGGTAATGCTTTTTGTTACTGTTGTGATGATGACAGTGACAATGGAGGTACTCACAGATCATCTTCACAGGCAGCGTATTCCAATTTAATGAAACCTGAATGGACTGTATGGAAACGTGGTATGCGACTGTCGTTTGGTCATGGACGTATTGGTTTAGCACGTTTACAACAACTGACACGAACAAATTGTGCATTGTTAAGAGTAAGGAATTATCAGGATTGTTATTTTATCATTATTCCCATGAATTACGAGTGTACCTACTATTTCATGCTGTCCTCTACAACAATCCCTTTCTCCTGACTCTCTACGATTGACCATGCACTGCCATTTCCTCCTCCTCCTCACAGGATCTCCTCCGGCATGTGACACTCAACCCCCCCCCCGTACTCGACTTGGCGTTAATTATTTGGGATTCAATTGAGATCCTATTCTGGCGAAGTTCAACAATAGAGTCCCAGGATTGTAAATGTTCCAATGACCTTGAACGCATGCTAGTTATTGGTTTAGGAAACTTACCATTATTCTACCGCGAAAATGAACGCTGTTCATCTACTGAGATGCCAATTTCATCCAGATCACGTATTTCAGTACTGTCTGGATAACGGATTAATAGCACGTACTCGTATATGTACTTGTGGTGCTCCTATGAACCTGCAATCGTATTCACAGGTCATTGATGGATATGTCTTTAGATGTACACATTGCAGAAAACGAATAAGCGTTCGTAATGGTAAGTGACAGTCTCAGTTAATTGTTTTCTAGGGATTTTCTTTGAAAAATCGAAACTCCCGTTGACGAAAATCCTGTTTATGTGCAATTACTGGGTTTTTAAATCCGGAGTGAGGTCAACAGCCGCTCAGACAGAAAATACTCTGGCATCTACTGTTCAATGGTTTCAGTTTTGTAGAGATTTAGCGTCATGGAAGATGAATAATATTACTCAAGTTTTGGGAGGAGTGGGTGTTACTGTTCACGTCGACGAAACAGTGCTCATAAAGAAGAAATACAACCGTGGTCGTGCTAGAGCAAATAGCGTTTGGGTGTTAGGAATTTATGATACCCAAATTCGCAAAGGATTCATCGAATTGATTCCAGACAGAAGTGCGGGCACTCTGGTGCCTATTATTCAGAGGCTTGTTTTGCCTGGCACTACCATACACACCGATGAATGGGCGGGATATAACCAGTTATCGCAACTCGGGTATATACATCATAGAGTCAACCATTCGCGTGATTTCGTCGACCCTGTCGCCGGAACGCATACCAATTCCATCGAGGGTTTTTGGGGTAGACTGAAAAATCGAATCCGAACCATCAATGGATCACAAAACGAAGTCATTTTCAGTCATTTGGGTGAATACATGTATAGAAATTGGTTTAATTTCAAAACTGAAACTCCTATTAATAATTGGAACATTTTTTAAAACTCATATTAGATAAAAGTACCCTGTTTGATTTTTTTTCATGCTTATTTATGTAATAATACGTAAAATTTTTTGCAAAAATCATCCTTTTTTCTGATTGGTCGGTTCAAGGTCACTTGTGCGTTTGTTCCTTGGGACTCTATTGTAGAACTTTGCCCCTATTTGGTTTGGTGTCTGAAGTTATAACGATAGAAGACAAGGGCCGGGCAACAGATCGTTTATTGAAAAAAATCAAGAGATATTTATAGATTTTCATGTACATTATTATTATTCGTTAGCCTTAGCAGAGAAGCAACGTCTTCTGATTGGTTGTTTTCTTGCTGAAGGTTAATCTGCCATCTCTTTGTGGCCGTTTCCTTGATGGTCAGACCATATATCTGCGAATCGTCTCCACCCACGCAAAGCCTGCTGTGATTGGTTGTTGAGTTCCTGAAGGTTAGGCTTTGTTCTTTTTTTCTCTCCTGACCCCAATTCAGGACGTAAACATTGACGTAAATTGGTGTCTACCAATTTTGGCAAGCAGACAGCTCTCACTACACTATTACTACTCTTACGCGTTACATCTGGAACACAGGGCTTCAAGTGTGAACTTCAAAGTTCCAGGAGCACCGACGTTTATTTGTTACGAGATGGGATAGCTAGCTAGCCTCACACCCAGCCTTCCTTCTCTACTGTAGACAAGGTCCAGAAGTGCGTTGGCAGTCTAGGATTGAGCCCTGGCAAATCGTTTGAACCGCATCAACCTCTATTTAATAACAATTATACGATTAAATTATGAAAACAGGTAGATTGAGCGAAGAAATATTTACTTTTCAACTAAATCCTCATCTCTGGCACTACTCTAATATATTATGTATAGCATTTTTATTACAATACACAACAATTAACCAATCAAGTGGCACTGATATGTTTGTTAACAATAATTAGTCAGTGTCATAACTCCATTATGGATAAGATTTTATTTTGATAAATCACACAGTGTTGTACAGTAATATTAACTGATGACCACGTTTCGAGCATAAACTATTGTTAATCATATCAACTTGATATAGAGCTTCATAGAGCTAGGTTAATCTGTTCAGACGACTGCCTCAATAAGGAGCTTAAGATTATTAGAGAATTACTTAGAAAAAATGGTTATCCAGATAAATTCATTGAGAAAAATATGAATTCAGCACCAAGGAGAGTCAGTATGGCTACAGTTCCGAAAAAACCAATGTTCATAAAATTGCAGTTCCTCGGTGACAACATCAACGAAATCATAACACAGCGCCTAAAGAATGCAGTTAAGAGAGCTTATTATGCAGCATAGGTACGTTGTCTCTTCACAACCACCCCTATTTTATGTTCGAGAAATAAGTATAAAATTCCTAAATTTGCCTCTTCTATGTGTATCTATCAGTTTGACTGCAGTTGCGGAACCAGCTACATTGGGCGTACAAATAGGCAGGTTCATCATCGTTTTTCCGAACATCATCCAACATGGTTAAGCAAGGGACAAACACACACCTTGTAGAAACTGAGCATAAGGTTGATGTTAATACTGCATTTAAAATTATTTATCGCATTCCGACTAATCTTAATTTTGCTGTACGAGTTCGTCTTCTACAGACAGCTGAAGCAATCGGAATCCACCTTAAGAAGCCAAACCTGTGGGTGTGTTCAGAAGAAATTTGTACAGCCACTTTCCTTACCGTGGCCATCGTTACATGAATGTATAAACCGTACTAATTATTGTTAACAGGCATATCAGTGCCACTTGATTGGTAAACTGTTGTGTATTGTAATAAAAATGCTATACATAATATATTAGAGTAGAGCCAGAGATGAGGATCTAATTCAAAAGTAAATATTTCTTCGCTCAATCTTTCTGTTTTCTAAATGCCTAAATAGGGATTAAATTATGATTAAATATATTTGACATATGAACTGATATATATACATAATTTTGTTTTAAATTGCATCTTTTACCATCTCTGAAATCTTCTTCATTATTTTCAGAATCATTCACTTGATAAATCTAACAATCGTATGTCAAATAATTCCTCAGTATCGAATTCACCATCCTGTTCAACTTCTCAATGTGATAGAAATGAAATATCTTCTATGCTGCTATCCTGCTATCAACAAAATCTACTTGAAGAAGAATGGGATGAACCATGTGCAACTGAAGGTGAAGAGGTGTTGGCAAGATATAGAAAAATTTATAATAACAATAATAATAATAGTAATGGTAGTGATTATAATTGTTATTTGAAGGAGAACGCTTCAATGCAGCAGTCTACTACTGCATCAAACAACAACTATGGTGTTTATCGGAGTGGTGTTGTTGAGACAATTCAACATTCCTATGAAGGACGTTATTTACGTCTTATGCATTGGACGGTAGAAGAAGAAGAAGAAGAAGAGGCGCCAACGATAACGGAGGGAGCAGTGCCAACAAAGTCATCACCTCAATCATCTTCACCAGCATCATTGAAAGCTAAGGCAACAGCTAGATTCCCTTATTATAATTCATCTACAGTTAAAAAAACAGTATCTGATTTCGCGTTGAGAAATAATGGGCATTTGGTTGATGAAGAACACGGTAATTCTTCTCTCTCTCTTTCTTTCGATGTATATACATGTATTACCCTTGGGTTTTGATTGGAACATAGGGCTTCAGCAGAACACCTTCATTTTGTCATGTTTTCTGCAGGCCTTATTAGCTCATCCCACAACTGGCCGTAAACTTTCATTTTCTCTATGTCACCCTCGAAGTGACACTCAACTCTCCGTTTCCCAGTACTCGGGTTCCACTCGGGGGGGATGGTGTGACAGGCGATGTCATCCAGCAGTCTCCCCAGTGTGTATCCGACTTATCACCATTTTCTTCGAATATTTTTTCAGCAATAGGCTCTAGATTGGCTCATTCCATTAGATCTTCAATATGGAGCTGGCGAATGTAACTGCAGATAGACGTTTAAAGTTGGCTGTTGAAAAGTGCTTCACGTGATGCTTTTGCCAAGTTTCTAGGCGAAAAGAGGACAGCTGATCGACTTAACATTGGTGTGGAAATCTGAATTTTGTTATTTATGCCGAGTGAAGCAGATTTCCACACTGATTTCAGAGTGACAAATGTGTGCCTTACCTCTCCGACTGTGATTTTGATATTCTCATCCTGGCCAACTATAGTTGAAACGATTCTGTCTAGATAAGTGAAGGTAGTGACCTCTTTCCGATTTAATCTGTTGATATCGATTGATTCTTGTTGTTGTTGTTGGTGGTGGTGGTGGTCATCGGTGGTTATCTTCAACACCTCCGTATTCTTTATGATTCACTTGAAATCCTGTCTTAGCTGTCTGCTTATACTTCCGACCTATTGGTTTTTATCTGTGGTTCTTCGAATTTATGTGACATTAGATAAAAATCGTTCGTGAAGCTCAGATCTTCTAGCGTCTTCTTGTTGGTCCAAGTTATTCCTTTCTTCCTGATCTGCACAGATTGTCGCATAATTCAGTCCACCAGCATTAGAAATACCATCGGTGATAGTAGACAGTAGTCTTATCTTACACTCCTGACAACCTGGCATTGTCATGGAGTTGTTGAATGAGATTGATGCAGATATGGGCATCTCTATAGTGTAGGAGTTCTATATCCAGTGCATCTCTTAGTCTCTCCAGGATGTACACATGCGTTTCCCTCTGTTCTCTACTAACCTTTTGTGCTGATTCGACAATTGTCTACTTGATTTCATTTCCACTTTACACGATCTTCTGCATACCATCCTGAAATGGACTCCCAACTCGTCATATCCTTTGTGTAGGTCTCCCTTGATGATCAAACTGGTACTTAGTCTCCTGAGAGCGTTTGTCTCAATACATCTCCATTTCCTTGATGCATATTTTTGAACCAATAGGTTCTTGGATGAGTCGCTGCCAGATTTCCTTGTTTCTTGTCAGTCCCTTCTATCTGATATGCAGTATGTAGCCAGCATCGGAGATACGGAATGATGCGGGCTGGTGAAAGTCTTTGAGAAGCCAGTCAGCCCATGTATATCTTCTTTTGATGAAAGCAACAATTAGCATTGAGGCATGGAATTTTCGCACAATACGTGGAGCTAAAAAGGCTGAGAGGATATGGCACAGAATTGCAAAGAATCTGTCAGAGCAGGTGGGATGGATGTGGTTTTTTCAAATTGTTAACTTGGGAGGCAATAATAATCTACTCTGGTCACTCAGATGGTAACTATGAGAACACTGAATGAGTGGCTATCATGAAATTTAGTGTTGAACATGCCTAATTGTGCACTCCATGTAACTAGCTCCACAGGAGCATTCACAGCGTGTGTGTGTGTTTGATAATTACGCATACATGAGGAGGAGGTGGAATTCAAGTGGTTCATCTCTAATTTCCTACCCAACCACCTCATTATTATTATTACTGTTCCCTTAGTTCCCAGTGGAACATAGGGCTTCAACAACACATCTCCACTCTGTTCGGTTTTCTACCGTCCTTTTCATTTGGGTCCACGATTGCCGAAACTCTCTCATCTCTGCCTTACACGATATCCTCCATGTCACCGTCGCAGTGATGACCCACTCCTCGCTTCCCATTTGGATTCCACTAGAACGATGGCATGCACTGCCCACCATGTCATTCGATGGTTTTCCTGATGTGTGCCCCATCCACCACACACCAACTTCATCGACTTTGAAAAGGCCTTTGATAGTGCAGCATCGATCGAGAGGTGATTTGGCAACTACTTCGCTACTACGGGGTGCCACCGACAATTATACATCTCATCCAACAGCTGTACGACAATGCTGCATACCAAGTAATCCACAACGGGAAAGTTACGGAATCCTTCGAAGTGAGGACAGGAGTAAGACAAGCTGGTTGCCTAATATCGCCAATAATTTTCCTGATTGCAGTAGATTGGATAATGTGACAAACAGCGGTGGGCAGTGAGGAAACAGGCATAAAATGGACACACACAAAAAAGAACTTGCAGGATCTGGACTTCGCCGATGAAAAATATGTCTGATTTCCCACAAACTGGAAGATATATGCAAGTGATGAAAAGCAACAAGTTGGCAGAAGAAGCATCCAGAGAAGACAGGACTTCAGGTGAACGTGGAGAAAACAGAGGTGATGAAAATTCCTGGGCAACACCACCAACAGCAACAACAACAATAGACAACAAGCAGCATAAATGGAAGGAACCTGAAAGAAACAACCTCTTTTACCTACGTACCTGGGAAGCATCGTCTCAACTACAGGCGGAACTGACGAGGATATCAAAGCAAGAATCGATCGGAAAAGCAAGACAAGCTTTCACTACTCTCTAGTCTGTGTGGAGGTCAACAGAACTCAGCATAAAATTGAAAATAAGATCCGGATTTTCAACTCCAATTTGAAGTCAGTCAGTGCTACTATACGGATCAGAGACTTGCACTGCGCGTCATAAGGAGCATCTCAAACAAACTACAGACGTTCATTAACAGTTGTCTTCGCTCAATACTACTCAAGATCAGATGGTCGGCCAGAAAAGATCAGCAACAAGGATCTCTGGGAGCGAACCAACACAGCAGAAACCGATTGTAAAACAAATATGCAGGAAGAAATGGAAGTGGATTGGTCGTCATACTGTGAGGAAACCATCAAGTGACATCACTAGACAAGCCATTGCTCGAGTGGAACCCGAAAGGGAAGCGGCGAGTTGGTCGTCAGTGCAAGGGTGACTTGGAGGAGGTCATGTGAAGAGGAGATGAAAACATGTGGGCTGACTTGAAGCCAGGTGAAGACTCTAGCAGAGAACCGAACGCAATGGAGACGCACGGCTGAAACCCTATGTTCCTCTAGGAATTAAAGGAAACAATAATAACAATAATATGCTTCATCCATCTTCATTTTCTCCAACATATTTGTTGAGCAATCGCCTCTTGGTTGGTTTGTTTCACTTCAGAGTTTCTTGTTGGTAATTCTTTCTTAACGTTGGCCATCTGATCTTCGGTATGGAGAAAATGAAGGCAGCTATTGATAAAAGTCTGCAGTTAACAGTTGGAAATCCTTTTTGTCACACATAGTGCAAGTTTCTGACCCTTATAGAAGAACTGACTGACTTCACATTTTCGAAGAACAGAATCCGAATCTTGTTGTTTACGCTGGCCGAGTGAGTGCAGAAGATTTTCGAACTGGTTTCAGGTTGGTGAAGGCGTACCTTGCCTTTCCGATTCTGGTTGACTGGCTTTGATATCTTCATCTGTTCCGACTGCCTGTGGTTGAAACGATGCTTCCTAGATAAGTGAAGGTGTTAGCCTGTGTTAAATCTCCACCGTTGATGGTGATTGGTGCTGGTTGTTTTTGTTGTTGCCAACCACTTCATAGAAGGGGCAAAGTTAAACTTTCAGCACCACTGACTGCCAATCAACAAACGAACTTCAACGAATCGGTCAAATGGAAGAGGCATTTTTGGTTATGGAAAACATATATTTTATGGAAAATATGAATAAAAACTGCATAAAACTGTTACCTAGAGTATCTTTCTCTGACATGTGGTGAAAACATCTCCCAGTCGAGCATAGGAATATCAACTGGAAAGGTACACCACATTCTATACATATATTCGTCCAAATGATTATAAATGACATCCTTTTGAGATCCATCAATGGCCCTAATCCTGTTTTTAATCTTCCCGAAAAGCCTTCTATAGAACTGATGTGTGTCCCTGTAACTAGATCCATAAAATCATTAGAAATGGTTGACTCTGTGATGAATATATCCAAGGGATGACAAGGAGTTATAACCTTTCCACTCATCCACGTGTACGATGACACCTTCTCTCCATTTTTCATGACGCGATATCTCTGCAGTGCTGATGTCACTGAACTGTTGATATGAGACTATTTTGTCTGTTTTTCAGCAGCTACATCTGTCACAGTCTGTTTTAAAACCCAGTAGCTACAAATATACCTAATCTGGATTAAGAACAAATGCGACCTGACAAAAAATGTACCTACGAAATATTAAAATCATCAGCTTACCTTCCCTGACATTTAACTGAAATCAAGCAGAATAGAGCCTTAAACTCACGTGGATAAAACTCATTGGGCCATTCAAGGTCATTCGCTGATTGGTGGTAGTTAGTGGTGCTTAAAGTTTAACTCGGCCATAGAAGGCAACAATTCGTATGGTGGTTCTTGTTGTTTACGTGTCATTATGCGAACCTTATTGCTGTTGTATGTTTTCGTTTTGTCTAACTCCTTACTGCTCTTCTTCTTTTTGTTTTCTAGATGCCTTTCAAACTTCATGTCTTATAGAAATCTATTTACCAAATTATAATATTTATTGGAAGCATCAACCAATGAAAGATAAATCTTCATCAGTTGATAATGACGATCATGATCATGATGGTGACGATGATAACGAGGAGGAGGCTGAGGATGGCGGTAATCCCAGTCAAAACGAATATCAATCAAGATTTAAGGGTCACAAAAGTCGTCATATTATTGAGCAGTGCTTAACTCCTGATAAACGTGCAATAGCTGAACTGTTGACGAAAGTAGGTTTACTAAATCGCTTGTATTTATTATGCGTGTGAATATATACTCCACTGTGGTACAGCGAATTGTTAGTAGATTTTGGTCCCTCCAAACGAAATGCTCCCTCTTTCTCGTGTCGTTGCGCGTTTATATCCTCTCTCTCTGTGCTAGTTAAATTGTTCTATTCACTGTTCTATTCAATTTTATGATAGATGTACTTATGGACTTAACCCTAACTCACTTCAGTGACTCAGGGATTGACTTGTTACCATCAGGAAATAATCTCGTTGACTTAGAATGTGCAGACGATATAGTTCTGCCTTCTAGGTGAAGACGCTGACAAAATGCAGAGTCTTCTGAACACCTTGGGGAGCAGCAATCTTCGAATGTTTGGCATGTAATTAGCTCTTGCTTTCAAATGTAAGATGATGCTATGGGCCTGGACTGGACTACATTGACTTCTATTTCAAAGACAGGGAGTGAAGTGGTGGTGGAACGTGTCTACCGCTTCACTTATTTGGGGAGTTGCATCAGACAACGCCAGCTGGTTGATCGCCGATGAAACCTCAGCATGGATACAAAGGGCTTGTTTTGCATATGCCACTTTACACCGTCTCTGGCGTAAACGTGATATCCAACTGACTGCAGTCCTCTCCGTCCTCCTCTATGGTTGTTGCTGCTGCTGCTGGATTCAACATAGAACTTGGCACCGAAGTGCAGCAGTTCGAGTTGCCACGTTCCAAATAGCACACAAAGGTAGACAGGGAAATGAGTGAAGAGAATCAATAGAATTTAGAATAGTATAAGAGGGAAACAGAATGAGTAATGGTTGTGAGTGAGATGTGGCCATTGGAAGTGGAAGACATGAAACTGGCTAGCTGTCTTTGGTCATAGGTGCCTGCGTTCTATCTCCCTTGTCAGGTGGTGTAATAGGGTGAGCAATATTGAGGTGATGCTTCTGTCGAGTGCTAGATAGGTGGGAGGAGAAATCAATAGACGAGGTTGTTAAGTTACACCGATTGAGATGGTTACGACATGTGTTAGATATGCATCCGTATCCCTCGCCTTCCTTGACAGTGGGCAATGTTAGCTGACTGACATAGGATGGATCAGGTTAGAAAAGAGTTGGTGATTGGTAGTCAAACCAAAGCAAGGCTTCATCAGTCAATTAAATCCACAACAGTTAGTTTAAGCCACGTAGGAAGCTGTAGACTGATAGACTGTTTGGGGTCCTCGGGATGTTAAAAACCAATGAAGGATGGAAACAATTGGTGATATGGCTCAAACTCATCGTTTTCAATGACAGCGCAGATGTATCCACTCTTTGTGACTCAGAATATCCAATAAAACTATATTGTTCTTCGTTATTATACTACCCTTTATGTCTCACATCTCTTTTTACTGTCTCTATTTTGCGTTTCTTTTTACTTTTTCCCCTACTTTCTTTGCTACATAGAGTGTGGCGACTTGAACCGCCGCACTTCGGTGCAAATTTCTATGTTGAAACCAGTCAGTCAGTCATTCACTACCTGCATGTGGCAGCAGTGGCGGTAAAATTTCTCACAAAAGTAAAAGGAGTGATTGTGTAAATGTCTGGCACTTACAACCGGTTCGGTGGACGTGTAAGTCTACTACCTATATGCAGCTAGAAAACTCTGCTTCCAAACTTTTGTGGTGCACATGATCTCCGAAATCCTAATGTTTTGAACCTGTTTCGTTCACTGTCAATCATGGGGATGCTGTTCCACACAGTCTTGTAGATCAGAATTCAAGTCTGAGAGGCTCGTGGCGGGACTGACCCTCTAAGATAAACACTTGCCTTGGTCAGGGTATTCGAACAGTTATCCCAGATCCCATACAAACTATGAGATTTCGGTTTGGCGCATCTCTTCGTGCTCATAATGTACCAGGTTTTTGTGTGCATAAAAATCAATAAAAATTCAGTGCATATATTAAGCAAATTATGCGCTATTACACGTTGGTGTCACCATTCCCACATAATATCATCCATTCTCTATTCCGGCATGTGTGGCTGTTCGTTTTCGTCAGAATTGTAACCTTCTTGCATTTCTTCTCCAATAGTGGATTTCCGACTGACATATAGGCTATTCTTATCGCTTATACTTAAGACGTTACTTGATATACTCTAATTAAGAGAGGTTAATCACTGAAGCTTTGTTTATTGATTCAACACCACACACGTGCAATTGGAACAAAGCAACGCCTACCTACCGGAGATGTGGAAAGTGGCAGCAGACAACAAGGAAAAATGGGATAGACAGAAATATAGGAAGTATATATAAGACAGACTGTGAAACTGTGTGATTAAACTGATATGCTTATGAGTGGCGATAATTTATTCTCGAAACCTTGTCATCCAGTTCTTAATACTGCATCGTCACTGTGTGATTATTTAAATTATTATATTATTGTTTCCTTTAATTTCTAGACGAAATTAGGGCTTCAGCTACACGTCTCCATTGCATTCGGTTCTCTGCCAACGTTTTCACCTGGCTACACGTCTGCCCACATGCTTTCATCTCCTCTTCACATGACCTCCTCCATGTCACCCTCGCACTGACAACCAATTCGGTGCTTCCCATTTGGGTTCCACTCAAGCAATGGCCTGGAATGTGATGTTACTTGATGGTTTGTTTTTTCAGAGTATGGCCAATCTACCTCGATTTCTTCTTGCATATTTGTTGCACAATTAGTTCCTGCGGGGTTGATTCGCTCATTGCCAGAGATCCCTCCCTGTTGCTGATGTTGAGTAGTATTGGGCGAAGACAGTTAGCTGTTTATGAAGGTGTGTAGTTTGTTAGAAGTGACCTTCGTGAGGTGCCAAGTCTATGATCCGTATATAGTAGCACTGACTGACTTCACAATGGGGTTGAAAATCCGGATCTTAGTTTTCATGCTGAGTGCTTACTGTTGGTCTCCACACAGACTTGAGAGAAATGAAAGCTTCCCTTGCTTTCTTGATTCTCGCTTTGATATCCTTGTCAGTTGATTACTAAAATTAATAAATTTAAAAAAAAATTAATAAATCTTATCTGCCATGGAATTACATTCAATCACAGTGCCTACATTGAAATATACATTTCGATTTTATTTTTCGTTTGTTCAACTTTTATGTTTCCTTTTAAACAAGTCGCCGGTAATCCGATGTTTAGCTGATTTTCTTCTATGTATTGACGAATGAGGCAGACAGTTTCTGTGAGTGGAACGTTGGTAAATAGTGACTCAATGTCGAGGGAGAGCATAGTTTTGTTATTTACATTGATATCTTTGATGTGATCGACGAATTGGAAAGTGTCACGAAGCGAATAGTGGCACATTTGTTTTCGTACAGGTTCTAAAATTTCAGCTAGCCATTTCGCTATAGGATGGTACGGGGAACCTGACATATCGAGAATTGGACGAAGTGGGAGTCTATAATCAGATCCGACCGACAGGATCAATAAATACCAAGACTGTACAGCTTACCAAAGATACATAAAGCCAACCTCCCACTTCGTCCAATTCTCGATATGTCAGGTTCCCCGTATCATCCAATAGCAAAATGGCTAGCTGAAATTTTATGTTTCCATCTGATTTTTCTATTTGCACTTATTCCTATTTCTTTCTTCTAAAATTGTAGCTAGTGAATCATCTGGACACTTTATTAGAAGATTGGTATCCAGATCTTGGTTCACGATTGAATCAATCGAATGAAGGTGTTTATCTTGTGGAACGGATTATACCATGTGTTGCTTGTCTTGCTGCTGCTGCTGCTTCGAAACCCACCCAAGTGAATAATAATAATAATATGAAGTCGAGTAATCCAGATCAAATGGACTCTGCCTCTGCTATGAATAATAATCCACAAGCCACCACATCAAGATCTAATGAATTGAAGGATAAATATATTAGCAGGAGGAAACATCGGTTTGTAAAGAATTCTTGCCTTCTCATTTTGTATTATTATTATTATTTTATCGCTAAATTTGTTAAACTCTTTAGTTAGAATCCTCTTGCAGATAATTTGTGTTATCTTAGGCAGGTCATAAAATCTCCTAGCTAAATACACATCGTGGTTTGGTAAGCTGTAAGTGGCTTGTATCTATCCAGTACTTCTTGATGGTTTTCAATGGTTCTCTAACTGATATCAATCCTTGATCAAACTAGAACCAGATTATTATAATGGGTTCCAAATGGAACATAGGGCTTCTACAACACATCTCTACTGTGTTCGATTTGGTGCTATGCTCTTCAGCTGAGTCCACGATTGACCATAATCTCTCATCTCCTCCTCTCCAACACACGATCTCCTTCATGTCACTGTCGCGTCAACGATTCACCTGTCGTTTCCCATTTGGGTTCCACTCGAGCGATGTCCTATCTGCAACAGGCTGTTGGAAATTCCTTTCGTGATGCACACACAGTGCAAGTTTCTGACCCGCATAGAAGGACCGACTTAACATTTGTGTTGAAAATCCGAATGCTGGCTGAGTGAGAGACAAAGATTTCTAAACCGGTTTCGGGTTGATGAAGGCGTATCTTGCCTTTCCGATTTTGTTAAGTGTTGACATCTTCATCTATTCCGACTGCCTGTGGTTGAAACGGTGCTTCCTAGCGCTATAAGTGATAGAATTAACCTCTTTCGAATTTCTGCAGTTGATTGTGATTGGTGCTGGTTGTTTTTGCTGTTACGAACTGCTTTGCTGAGCAGTACACACGCCCTTTGGTCGACAGCCAGCAAACCGCATATCACGTCTACGCCAGAGGTGGCGTAAACTGGCATTTGCGAAACGAGCCTTTTGTATCCGTGCTGAGATTTCGTCCGCAGGCAACCCATTGGGACTGGCTGATGTGACTTCTCAAATAAGTAAAGTGCTCTACCACTTTACTCCCTATTTCTAAACTAGGATTGGGTCAATGTTGTCCAGTCCTGTAACATCATCTTACATTACACAGCATGAGCGAATCGCATGCCAAACATTCCCAGATTGCAGCTCAAGGTGTTCAGAAGACTCTGCATTTTGTCAGCGTCTTCACTTAGAAGGGATGACTATATCATCTGCATATTTTAAGTCAACGAGATTATTCCCTGATGGTAACAAATCAATCCGTGAGTCTCTGAAGCCACGTCGGTTAGGGTTAATTCCATTAGTATATTTATGATGAAATTGAATAGATATGGGGATAGTCGGCATCTCTGACGGACACCACTAGTTGTCACCACTTCAAATGACAACTCGCCGTAACGTCCCACCTGGCTGCCTGCATGAGTTCGAGTAGAGTGCCCTGTTCAATGTAATGTATTTTCTCGGCATTCCTTTCAGAGCCAAACATCACCAGAGTACCTCTCGGTCGACAGAATTGAATACCGCTTTTAGGTCAAGAAATATAAGGATTGTTGAACGCCGACGGTAAGTATGCCTATGTTCCAAAATCTGTCGAAGGGTGAAGATATGACCTTCTTCTCTGTCTAAAGCCTCCCTGGTTCTCTCGTGTTTGTTCCTCCCGTGGCCCGCTTAGTCTACGCATTATTATTAAGCCTAGAACTTTAGATATCATATTAGTCAAGCTAATTGCCCTGTGATTATCACAGGAAGACTTGTCTTTCTTCTTGTACATCGGGATAATCAATGACTTACACTAATCCGACGGGACTTCCTCTGATTCCCAGACGCTGTCTAGTACCTTAGTTAACGCAGACAGTAAACTGTATCCACCGTACTTAAATACCTCTGGAGTCATTCCATCAGGTCCTGCTGCTTTTCCTCGTTTGAGATTAGTGACAATTTTAGTAACCTCAGTTAGGGACGGAGAACCTGTGTCCATCTCCTATTCAGCGAGGTGTTGGATGTTCGTTAATTTGAGTGTGGCTGTAAGCCAATTGAATCGCTCCTCAGAATGTTCTTTCTGGCGTTCCAGTCGTCTATCCTGGGAGCTAATTATGGTGCCATTTTTCTCAGAGATTGTTTCACTTATCATTTGCCTTTTGCCACCTGTTTCCCCTAACAATAGGCATTGCCTTTTCCATCTTTTTCGCTTTTTGTCGCGCACCACTGTTCATGGTCTTTTGGGAGGCTTCTTGTTACTTTGTGTTTGAGTAGCTTTCGCTCCTTATCATAATCAGAGCGAAAGTATCCTTCAGGCTATACTTAGTCACTTTTAGCTGCAGTGGTTTAGTTATGTCTGTCTGTCTGTCAACCATCTAGCTATTTCATGATATGCTGAATTAAACACGTCTAATATTGACTCTTTGAACTTAAGGTAGTCCATACAATTTCAGGCATATTTTGTTCCTAAAGGAACTTGGGGGGGGGGGACACTATATGATGGCTAGATACTAAAGCTTTCAGTATTCCTTTTTATACTATATCTCTTTATCACAGTTCTTCATATTTATTTTTATTTAATTTTTCTTATTATATTAACAGATCTCATCCTATTCATTTATCAGTATTTGATAGAAAATTGTCAGCATCACTTCAATTTATCAATCATAGACAACAGTTTTCAGTAGATCGTCCAAATAGTCCGGCATCCACCAGAGTATCGACTAGTCCAGTGTCTATTGCCTATCATCTGGCTAAAATGCATATCGGTGAGAGTGTCAGTGGCAGTAATCAGCATATCAACCCTACTACTACTTCCAGGAAGAATTCTGTTCATCGTAATACTCCAAGGTAGGTGTTATGTATCGCTGGAGGATGTATTTTGGTATTTCATATTCCTATATATCTTGTTGTACGTTGGTGGCTGGCTAACTACGCATGTGGTTCGCAGTTCGACTCCCAGTAAACTTTTTGAAGTCACTAAAGCCGATGATAGATGTCTGATCTCCCACAAACTGGAAGATGATATGCAAGTGAAAAGTGACAAGTTTGGCAAAAGAAGCATCCAGAGAAGATAGGACTTCAGGTGAACATAGAGAAAACAGAGGTAGGTGATGGAGATTCCTGGCCAATAGCAACATCAACACCAACAGACAACAATCATCATAAGTGAGAGGAGTCTGAAAGAAGCAATCTCCTTTACCTACCTTCCTGTTAAGTCCCGTTTCAACTTCAGAAGGAACCGATTAGAATATCAAAGGGAGCGGCTCAAAGTGGCGAGTTGGTCGTCAGTGCGAGGTTGACATGGAGTAGGTGATGCGAAGATGAGATGAAAGCATTTGGGAAGATGTGGAGCCAGGGGAAAACATTGATGGAGGACCGAATTCAGTGGAGATGTTCCTCTAAGAACTAAAGGAGACAATAATAATCATAATCAAATGATGAGAATCTTTGGTTATATATGGTATTCAGACTGCATTTCGGATTTAATTAAGGTGGTGAACCTTTTGAAACACATCACTAAACAAAACCTTAGATAGGTACTTTATAGAACTTACGATACAGTTAAACTTATTTTCATGGAGAAAATGAGATCTATGTTTTCCTGTAAACAATTACAGAATCCGAACGATAGTATCGTATGCCATTGTGTTTGTCAGTTTACATGTATGTGTGGTCACACATGCGTAGGGAAGAGGACCTGTCGATCTCTGCAGGGCTACAGAACATATTCCAAAGTCTTAGTCATTTAACACCCTCTGAATGGTATTTTGTGAGTATGCTATGGGACGTATTCTTATTCTGCTGTCTGTTACTGATAGCAGCAGTCTATCACAGGGTTGATTTGAATTTTTCGAGGTCCTCATCACAGGAGGTAACCAAGTCCCTCGTTTGTATGTATAGGTTTTCAAACTGTACATCACTGTCTCTATTTCACTAATGTCCTTACGAAAATCGCTTTGATTTCAACAATGCCTTTAAATCCACGGCAAAGTTAAACTTTCGACACCAATAACAACCAATCAGCAAACGACCTTGAACGGACCAATCACATGTAAGAGACGTTTATGATAAGCGGAAACGTATATTTATAGAAAAATGCACAAAAAAATTGATAAAACGGTTACAATGGGTATATTTCCCGAACATGGGAGAGAAACATTTCCCAATTCAGCATGGCACTGTCAACAGAGAAGTCACACCACATTCTATACATATATTCATCTAAATAACTATAAATGAGATCCTTTTGAGGTCCATTTATAGCCCTTACTCTATTTTTCAATCGACCCCAAAATCCTTCAATGGAATTTGTATGAGTCCCTGTAACTGAGTCCACGAAATCACTGAAGTGGTTCACTATGTGATGAATGTATCCCAGGGATGACAATGAATCACAGCCTTTCCATTCGTCGGTATGTACAATTGATCCCGGTTTCACGAGTCGCTTTATAATAGGTACCAGAGTAGTCGCCTTCCTGTCTGTTATTCCCTCAACAAATCCTTTTCGGAGGGACGTGTCGTATAAACCTATGACCCAAATGTTGTTCGCTCTCTGACGACCGTGGTTATATTTCTTCTTCACCAACACTGTCTCATACACATGGACTACTACGTCGTCCCCGCCTAACAATGAAGTAATTCTGTCCATTCTCCATGAGGCGATGTCTCTGCAGTGCTGGTACCACTGAACTGTTGAGACGAGGCTGTTCTCCATCTCGGCAGCAGAGGCTGTTTCAGTACTCAGTAATTGCAAATGTACAAAATATGGGTTAGGGAGAGATGCGACCTAGCAAAAAAAGTTCCTACGAAATATTACCCTCTGATACAAACTCGCTTCCAGCACATTCCACAACGATGTACAAAACCATCAGTTGACCTAGTATAGCTTTTTAAAGTCATTACACCACCACACGAACAACTTCTCTCCTTTAGAAGCAAGCCTAAGTCCAGGCAATACTGAAAGACACTATCCTCCTCGAATTGCAAACGCAACCTTGTAAGGGCACGCATTGAAATGAATCAAGCGCTATACAACATTGAACTACGTCTGTGAATCTCATTGGACAATTCGACATCGTTCGCTGATTGGGAGTTATTGGTGTCTAAAGTTTAACTTGGCCAAACCCACATATAAAACAAGTTTGAGTCACATATTTAAATTCCTTGAAGTCTTGACTATAAAACGGCCGAAACCTGTTTTGTGTGTTCATTCCCCTGAACTTGCCTTAATAATCCAATTTTGGAAACAAGGTACAATTTACTTAGTAATATTGTCACCCGCGAAGGCTTTTAATATATTTCTTGTGCGTTGAAGTCTCTCTAGCAGTTTGATAGCTTTTGTTGGTGTAGGGTCGCTAGCCCTATGCCTAACACTCCCTCTATATGGGTCCTAAACTTGGCCAACGCGTCACAAAAAGGATTTCCAACAGGTTGAAGACTTTTATCAACAGCTGTCTTCTCTGACTGGCTCCATACTGAAGATCAACTGGCCAGATGGCCAGAAAGATTTAGCAACAAGAAATTCTGCTAACAAGCCAACTGGCAAGAGCTGATCGCACAGCAAATATGTAAGAAAAAATGCAGATGGATCAGGTATACGTTGAGGAGGTCATCAAATGACATCGCGCACTATGCATGCACTTTCTCTTACCACATATTCTCAACTAATTTTCCTATCTCTTCTCTGTGACCATGACCAGTACACAATTTGATTGCATTTCGTAATCAAGTATGCTCTATTGCCTTCGATGCAAATGTGTATGACAAATACGTGTGTATATGTGTGTGATTAAAATGTTTGAAATATGTTGCACAAATGTATGACGTGTTTCAGATAAATTATGTCTTCTTATAGTTTTGTTGATAAATTCCTTGTAAAAGGATAATAATATTTGTGTCTTTTATTTTGGTTTTCATGTGTAGCAGTCCCAAATGGCCTTGGTTATTTAGACGGTAAGTGAATTAATGAACGGAGAATTCCTTGTTACCTTTTATTTTGTCTTCATCTTCTGTTGTTTTGTTCAGAGTAGAGTAAGTTGTAAATCATAACGACAGTGGATACTGACTGACTGGTTTCAACGTAGAAGTTTGCACAGATGTACAGCAGTTCGAGTTGCCACACTTCACTTAGCACACAAAGCCAGAGAAGAAAGTGAAAATAAATGCAAAATGGAGACAGTAAACAGAGATACGAGGCAAAAAGAATAGTAATATCGAAGAACAATATAATTTTATTGGGTATTATAATTTACTACGTTTAATGAGATCCAAATATGAATAAGTATTTTCCATATGGATTAGATATTCATTGTATGGTATACAAGTTTGGATCACTGAGGGATGATGAGTTCTGACATGTGGGAAACTATTTCGTGTCCACCAGTCTTATCTATTTGTGCTCCTAAAATCTTTAATTTTCATTGATCGCCCGTTATTCATCTCATTGACTGGGTTTGAATTTATAATAAATTTACTCCTTTGAGTTCCCTGTGGAACATAGGTCCTCAAGCGTGGACTTTTAAGTTTCAGCATCAATGGTTTTTTTACGAGATTGGGTTGCAAGCCTCACTCCAAGTCTTCTGTCTTTACCAGTCCTACTACCGTTTAAAAGAGGTTTACTAGTGCGTTGGCGTCAGGGGATCGTGGTTGGTGATCATTCTACCACAGAACCACCGACGCATAAAAGTCAGAGATTACTGAACAATTGTGCCTTCCTCTCCATCGGAACGCACCCACTGCTACCAAGGTTCCAACCTAGGACCTTCCTTTTACAAGGCAAGCTCGTAGACCATTCACAGTTACTAGAACTCAATTAAGTTTTACTGGTGTGGTGGTTTTATCGCACTGTTTCTTCCCGTTTATCAAATTTTCTGAGTTTTCGGAGTTTAACGCTGATTTCTTTTTTTTCTAACTCATTACTTGTAACAGGAGTCATCATCCGAAGAGATCTCATTCTGTGGATCTATTACAAAATACTGAACAAAACAATCGAATCAATTCATTGTCAACAAATAACAACAACAGTGGCAACGGCAACTGGGATTCCTGTTTACGGCATAACTGTTAATGAATATATTCATTGGTATATAATGCAAAGTTCAAGAAAGAGAATTCAACATGATGAATTATACTGTCCTATACATTCATCAGTAGTACTATGGGCTCCTGATTTAGTAAGTTCTCTGTGAGATAAGAAAAAGAATGACTGTTCTTCTCTTTATTTAGTTAATACATTTTTAAATGTTGCTGCTGCTGCTGCTGCTGAGTCCGAAACTATAGCAGACGAAACAGCTGTCTAGTAGTACCCTCTTGGTTAGTTTTCAATGGTTCTCTTACTGACATCAACCCGTGATGATGATGATCAAACTTGAAACGAGACAAATCCCCTTACAAACTAAATTTTGAAAATTAATCTCATGCTTGATAGGGAGTGGCTACAGAACGAAATTGATTGGAGTTTTAGTGAGAAATTGTGAGCAGTTGAATCGACCAGTACTCGCCAGCGATGACATTGGCTGGTGGTGGTTGAGCTAAAATTACAAAATAGTGGACGTTGTAATTCATGGACTGGCTATTGAATCAGATCCTAGTGGTTGAATGGTATACGAGCTTGACTTTTTTAACATGAATACCCTCGGTTCGACCAATGGTGGTGGGGGACTACTGAAGAGTCCTAAAGTAGTACGAAGTGTTTGTGTTCAGTGCTGGTTTTCAGTGGTTCTCTAACTGATATTAAAATAAATCAAATCCTTACAAAGTAACTGATGATAATTTAGAACATATAAATCAGTCATCAATGAGGTCACCTCTTTTCGCAATTCCACCACAAAGGTGTACAGCTATTTAAAGGGTGGGGGGGGTTAGAGGTTTCAGGTAAGACCACGGATTGATATCATTTAGAGAACTATTGAAAACCAGTGAGGGAGTACTGGAAAGCCGCTCCATCCCCATAGTTTGGGACTCATCGCCCGTACTCACCCACCACGAAGGTTCGAACCCAGGTTACTTCCGGTTACAAGGCAAGCTAGCTCGTATACCATTCAGCCACCAGGACCCACGATTCAATGACCAGTCCATGAATTGTAACTTCTACGAATTCGTGATATTTAGCGTGATCATCAACCAATGTCATCCATTGGTGGAAAGTCCATCTTCACTCTCGACTAGGTGGACCACACTGTTCGTGACTTTTCCCTAGAAGTGCAGGAGACTTCGTCAAGCAAGCATCACATCTATTTTCTTGATATCGATCCATATTCTAACCTGAATCATATGGAATCCCTACAAATTAATTCGTGGAAAATAATCTGACACTCTCTAGTAACTGGCTACAGGACAAAATTTCCTGCACTTCTAATGAGAAGTCGTGACTAATGCGGTCGATCCACACGAGAGTGAGGACTAATACTCACCATGGATTACATTGGCTGGTGCCAGTCGCGTTAAAATCACAAATTGGTAGAAGTAAGAATTCATGGGTTGGTCATTAAATCGGGTCCTAATGGCTAAATAGTATATGAGCCAGCTTGGCTTGTAACCGGAAGATCCTGATTTCGAAACCCAATGGATGCGTCCCGCTGGTTAGTCCGAAACTAGGCTGATGAGACAGCTATCCAGTACTCCTTCATTCAATTTCAGTGGTTCTCTAACTGATATCCATCCGTGAATTAGAGAAAAAATATCCCCATTTAGACATTTGGAAAACAGAAAGATCCTCATTTCTGGCTGTACTCTAATATATTATGTATAGCATTTTTATTATAATACACAACAATTTACCAATCAATTTGTACTGATGTTAACAATAATTAGTCAGTGTCAACATGTCAATGGGGTGATAATTAGCGAAGAAAATTAATACACACAATTAAAAACACAGTTTTTGTTCAGCGAAGAAATTTCTTTTCAACGACTTCATTTTCAAGCTGTACAGTCGTATTTATATTACAGAAAAGGTCATTAAGTGGCACTAAATAATTGCTCAGTCAATATACATATATGTGATAAGAATAACGATAATTAAAATGTTATAAGGGGTAGAGTTGAAGTGGATAAATTACAAAATTATTAAAGATTGTTTTATAAGTGAATTGAAATCAAAAATGTTTTTAAAGTGTCAAGTGTTGTCTAAAAATTTTAAAAAATTAGGAGTACGATTACGATAAGAATGAAGATGTGAAGTGAAGTGGAAAGAATTCAAGTGGTAAAATAAAATAAAGTAAAAACTAGAAAGAACATTACTATGATCAAGGTAAAGAAAGGGGTTTGACAAAACGTTTTTGAACACACTATTTAGGTTTCTGTTCATGTATAGCTAAAGCTTCGGCTATGCACAAGTGAAGAAAACGTAAACTTTTGGATCGATTCGATTTCGCCATGTAGATAACTTTGGAAAATGAATCACGTGGGGCTAAATGACCTGACTGTAACAGGTGATCACAAATAGACGACTTCGCAGTTCTACGTTCTCCTTTCATTAACCAGACTACATAGTGTTCAGCTACACGTTTTCGGAGATTACGCTTACAACGTCCAATATAAACAGCTCCACAAGAGCAGGTAAAAGAGTAAATACACGTGGATGTGGACAAAAGCGGTAATCTACCCTTGACGCATTGTCTAATCATATTTCGGCTGGTAAAAACTAGTTGTAAGTCAGCTGCAGGAAAAGTACGTTTAATACATTTAGATAAACGATTTTTAATCAATTCCGAAATGGTGTCACCTTTGAATACCAGACTCATAAACAGTTTCTTCTTTGGCACTGTAATTTGTCTAGGGGCGTGTTCTTTCTTGATGTTACGTTCGATAAATCTTGTAGGATAACCATTATTAAGGAGATTTGATCGAAGGTTACCTAGTTCACTATCGATTGTCTCTGCAGAGCAGATTTTACGAATTCTAGAGCATAAGGAATGAATAAGATTTCTCTTTCTCCCTAACGGTACCCAACTGTTGAAGTTAGTGTACTGCCCAGTGAATGTTGGCTTTCGGTAAATCGACCTTAGCAACGTACCATTCTCTCTTCTATCTAGCTTTACATCAAGGAAGTGAAATGATGAATTCGACTCTTCTTCGACCGTGAAAAGCAAAGATGGATGAGAACCAATAAATATTCCAAGAAGTTCAGCAGTTGAAGAGTTTTCGTCACATACAATGAAAGTGTCATCTATATATCTTTTATACATAAACAAACTACCGATGGTTTCCTTAAGTGGGCCATTCTCTAAGCTAGCCATGAAGACGTCCGCTAAGAGCGGTCCTAAAGGAGACCCCATTGCGACTCCATCCCTTTGATTGTAGATGGCATCATTAAATCTAAATTGCACATTCAGTGTGCATCTCAATAATAGTTGTTTAAAATATTCCGTTGGTAAACCAATGTTCATGCTATTTGAATCAATATACTCGCATAGATAGCAGATAGTGTCTACTAGTGGTACATTTGTGAACAATGAAAGGTAGAAATGGTTACAACACGTAGATTGCGTAATGCATAATTTCGGAAAGATGAAGGGTAATTAAGGAGTAGGCTTGTGTACAGGTTGACTACGTAACAGTAATCTGTTATTGAAGAAAATAAAACGTCCGGTCATCGTTACATGAATGTATAACCCGGACTACTTTGGACCCTCCCCTTAAACTTTTAAAAGTTATAATTGTCTAAATTATTTTATTATTTTCTGGCTACCAAATCTTTAATTACATGTTGTCCTTGTGAAATTATTTTATTCTTATGACCACTTCAAACTTAGTTACAAGTTATCATTGTCTAAATCGTTTTGTTTTCTTTAATGGTCTGTTACGTAATCAACCTGTGTACACGCTTATTCCTTAATTACTCTTCATTTTTTCCAGAAATATGCATTATGCAATCCACGTGTTCCAACAATTTCTACCTTTTAATTGTGTGTATTAATTTTCTCCGTTAATTATCACCCGTCACCTTGACTTGTTGATACTGACTAATTATTGTTAACAAACAAACATATGAATGCCACTTGATTGGTAAATTGTTGTGTATTGTAATAAAAATGCTATACATAATATATTAGAGTAGAGCCAGAGTGAGATGAGGATCTAATTGTAAAAGTGAATATTTCTTCGTTCAATCTTTCTGAAATGAATCAGTTATGTATACGGAAAAATTAAAAGACCGTTTTAGCGAAGGAAATTTTGTTTTTGATGAATTCACCAACCCAGGCTGTTCATTCATGTATATGCAGTAAAGGGTGTGAAAGTTTTGATTGTTTATGATAGTCATGGTAAAGACAAATGTGGGTGGACATATTTCTTTTGAATACATTGCGTTGACTTGAATTTTCGGATCGCTTGTGCTTCAGTTATGTATTTGCAGATGTCTTGATTTTACTCCCTTTGAGAGGATTGCTTAGATGTTGCTTAGGACTTTGAAGGATTTTACAAATGGAGCTTGAGGTTCTGTTACCACCAAGCCATAAAGACAGCTACTTTCTCCCATAGCTAGCTATCCAGGTTGGATAGTGTTCTCAAGCGTCTTGTACAAGCGGATGAAAGTTGGAGAGGCAATGTGTTTACCCTCGCAAGAGCAAGTGGGCTAGTATATGCACGTTAATTCGGCCCAATGGAAACCGTTTGTCTTTCATATTCTCGCTAAATTGTTTATTGGAAGAAAAGTGTTACTCCTAATCTGTCAGCGAAGTATTTTTTACTATGAGATTTTGAATGCCGTTTTTGGGTAATGGTTGCCTTACTGTCATTTCTCAATTGGAGATTCAGTAGCAGAAACTTTTCGGGTTGGGAGGGGGGCGGGGAAGGTCGAACTGGACATGTTCATCAGCACTCTTTGGTTTCAGATTCTTATCTATGAATTCAGATGTGAATCTTAGTAACATATTTCTTGTTAGCTGATGTGAATCAGCATATCAAGTGTCTTATTTAAGACAATTAGTTCCCTTTCTGAATTTAGACAAAGCAATAAAAAGACGTAATTTGTCTGAATTGTGTAATGTGTATTCGCGCGTACAACACATTTCCAACAATCTGATCACACACGGACTTGTCATAGGAATAGATATATATGAAATTAATAAAGAGTTAAGAGGTGAGAAAATAGACTTAGGTCAAGTTAAAAGGACATAATCATGGTCAAAATAACAATGAAGATCACTAAACCAAATAACACAGGTAATCGTACATCTACGCTGGTTAGTATCAAAACAAAGTTTACCAAGGAACGCAGGTTAAGTATGATGACGAATTGTTGCTTTGATCGCGCATAAAGGTGGTTTAAACTTTCTAATTGCCTACTAGGGCTTCCACAAACTTTAGGATACGCCCCAAACATGTTTTATAGATAGGTTTAAAGTACGTGTAAACATCAATTTCACGTCCTATCTCTATAATATGTTTCTCAGCAGAGAAGCTAGTTCGTCTGTTCTCACCACTAATGCATTCTGGGGTTTCTATTTGCTTCTGTAGCCATTTAGAAATATGCTCTGAAGCCAACCCTTACTTGCAGAGATCGATGAGTCCCCCCTATGTGTGTGTGTCCACACATACATTCAAATTGGTAAATACAATGGGATGTGACATCATTTTTCGCATGTTCAAAGGGCTTAGATGGATGGATATATTGGCTTCACATTCTCAATTATTATGATATTAGCTGCATAAAAAGTCTTTTTAACAGCAGCTTTCAGTCTTTGTCTAGTTATCAAGCTGTTATATTCCCCCAAATAGGGTAGCTTGATGTACACGTGTTTCTTAGTAGCGAGTTGTAAATTGGGTCCTAATGTTCTGACTACTTTATATCTCCTGATGAACTTTTCTGGATAATTATTATCAACCAGAGTTTGTGTGTCAACTTTCTTTCTTCCTCAACAAAGTATTTTATTGCCTAATATCGAATACATAATAGATAGAACTTATTACTTTTATGTGTGCGTCGGTGGCATAGCGGTTAAGATGCTCGCCGACCATGCACATAGTCGACGCACTCCTTTACCTCGCTAAGCCAGAAATAATGCTGGTGAAGAGGAAAGGTTGGGTATGAGGCTAGCAACCCCATCCTGTAAAATAAACACTGCTACAGAAACTTAAAGCCAATAGCTTGAAGCCCCATGTTCCACTGGGGAACGTGAAGGAAAAAAAATAACTTTTTTGTATAATGAACTAAGTTGGAATCTTTCGGAGTTTCGGTATTCTGTCCCTGTACTATCTGCTAAAAGCAATTTCTTTTTATGCATTAACAATGAATATACTGTCATCTTATTCAAACGCAAACTAGATACACTCTGAGCACCAAGAGATATGAGCCACACCAAAATCTCATACTTTGTTTGAGGGTCGATACAGGTGGGGCTACACTCCAATAGTTTGAATTGAAGTTTGGTCTACAAAGCATTGGAGTAGCATTGGAGGAGCTGCGTTCTCATGGTTTCCGGTCACAAAAACAGCTTTATTCACGCCATTCAATATTTCCAGAATTTGGGGCCCATGTATTATTATTATTGTTCCCTTGGGTTCCTAGTGGAACATAGGGCTTCAACTGCACGTCTCCACTTGCTTCTGTCTTCTGTTGTACTTTTCACCTGCATCCATGTTATTCCATACTGTTTCAGTTCCTGTTCACACGATCTCCTCCATATCACCCTTGGACGTCCCACTCGTCGCTTCCCTTTCGAATTTTATTCGAGCACTGGCCTGACGCGCGATGTCACCCAGCGACCTCCTCAGTGAGTGTCCAATCCATCTCCACTTTCTCCTACATATTTGTTGAGCGATTGGTTTTTGTTTTGCTTGTTCCCATAGTTTCTTGTTGGTGATTCTTTCCGGCCATCTGATCTTCAGTAGTATAGGGCGAAGACAGCTGTTGATAAAGGTCTGCAACAGGCTGTTGGAAATATTCTTTGTGACACACTGGCCAAGTTTCTGATCCGTATAGAAGAACTGACTGACTTGACGTTTGTATTGAAAATCCGAATTTTGTTGTTGATGCAGGCTGAGTGACGAAGATTTCCAGATTGGTTTCAGGTTGATGAATGTGTTTCTCGCCTTCCCGATTCTCGATTTGACATCCTCGTTCGTCCGTTTCTCCTGTAGTTGAGACAATGCTCCCTAGATAAGTGAAAGAAGTAACCTCTTTCAAATCCCTCCCGTTGACGGTGATTGGCGCTGGATGTTGTTGTTGTTGGTGGTTGGTTATTTTCATAACCTCCGTCTTGTCTATGCCCATGTACACCATGGGTTTTTAGGAATCAGGGTTTTCGAGCTCGAGTAGGTCGATATAGAGCATGTCTACCTGTTCAGTTACATGCCTCAGATGTTAACATTCACCCGCCGCCGTCGCCGCGAAGAGACACTAAAATGGGATGTACATTGAAATATTTTTATTTATTATCCTATTTTTGTTTTTGTTGTTTGTTTTGTTGATTCTTTCTCTTAGAGATTGGAAGATATTCCTTCAAGTATGTTAATTTCTCCTGATCGTATTCATCTGTTGAAATTTCTTGGACGTGGAGCTTTTGGTTCTGTATTCACGGGTTGTTTGACAAAGAAGAGGAACAATATTCCTCCTAGTAATACCCAACATGTTGTACATAAACAAAAATTGCAACGACAACAGCAGCAACTGTTCAGTGACAGCGAATCATCAGCTACAGAAAATGAAGTAAGTTGAAGCCTGTTTATTCACGGAAACTGTCACCTACAAATGTAGCTTAATGTTGTTTGTATGTATTAGTACAAAGCCAGCTGGAATAGACAAATCCATGTATCGACAATAAAATTCGAGTTCATTAATAACATCTTTTTTGATTATGAAGAACGAAAAGGAGGAAGCAAAGAACATCCTGGATAAATTTAATGAGGTACATCCTGCAATAAATTTTACTATTGAGAAAGAAAATAGACTCTAGTATTTCATTTCTAGACGTCCTTATGACCAGAAAAGAGGATGGCACAATAAGAAGAAGTGTTTATAGAAAACCTACATCAACGGGCCAGTACACACATTTTCTCAGCTTTGTGCCCTTGAAATACAAACGCAATCTAATAAAGTGCTTGGTCCGTCACAGAGCAAGAGAGATTTGCTCGGATGAATGTCTTGACGAGGAGCTTAACAATATTAAACGGTTGCTAAGTGAAAATGGTTATCCCGAAAAGTTTATTGATAAGAATATGAATCTAAAACCAAAACAGTCCAAGTTACCAACAGTTCCAAAGAAAGCCTTGTTCTTACAGATGCAGTTCCTAGGAGACAACACAAGTGAGATACTAACACATCGCCTCAGAAATAGCGGTGAAAAGAGCATTCCCTGCTGCTCAATTACGCTGTATCTTTAAAACCACTCCTCTTCTGCGTTCGGGAATAAAAGACAAACTGCCTATTTTCGTCTCTTCCATGTGTATCTACCAATTTAACTGCTCCTGTGGAGTAAGCCAGTCTGTTGCATAGGCCGTACAACTAGGCATGCTCCTCGTCGGATTTCCGAACATCACCCTGCCTGGTTAAGCACAGGTAAAACAAAATCTATTCGCAGCGCTATTCTGGCGCATCTTGTGGAGACAGAACACAAGATTGACGTTAATCATGCTTTCAGGGTCATTTACCGCATACCTACGAATCCCAATTTTTCTTTAAGACTTCGACTCCTAAATATTGCTGAGGCTGTGGCGATTCATATTAATAATCCTAATTTATGCACCCAAAAGAAGTTAGTTCAGTCATTATCATTACCTTGGGGATTCAGGTTTGAATAATCCAGAATTCTTGTGAAATTTCCCTAATTTCAGTTGATATTCTATTCGCTGTTATATCTTTATTATTATTATTATTATTATTATTATTATTATAATTTAAGCATCTTTAATGAACTGCAATAGCATTGACCATACTTTACAAACCGATATTATTTAAAAAAACGCTAATATTGTTATTAACTACTAATTTAAAATATTCTATATATAAATTTATATATAATTGTAGAGCCTGGAAGAGGAATTTATCGAAAAGAATATTCTTTGCTCGATTATTTTGTGTTGTATACGAATGTAGCTTAATGTTGTATGTATTAGTACAAAACCAGTGCAAATAGGCAAATCGAAACAGACTTTCATTATCCTAAAAGCAATTGATCCAATGCAAGACAGACGTACCATTAAACCAAATGTTCAACTCTGCATACATACAGTGGAAGAATACTAATAACAAAATAATATTTTGATGTGGTTGTGTTCTCTGAGCTGGATAGTTAATTTATGAAACTTTTATCGCCCTACTTATTAGGCAACATCTTCAGTGCATTCTTCAATTCGAAGTGTGCTTTTAGATTTCTCCACGAGTTTATTAGGCACATCTCCTGGCGGGTGACCTTGAAAGCGGTGATTGGTTGTTTTTGTGTGTTTTCACACTACATTGGCCAAAGTTGACGTCCCCTTTGTCTTCACATCCATGAAAATAAACTAGCCGTCAAAAACATGATACCTACTCCTTTATATCACTACATACAGACAACCACGGACATCAATTCAACTGGAAAAAACACCAAGAATGCTAGAGAATTTTTAGAAGCCAGACCGGTATTCCAGTGAATCGTTAATCAATAGTCACATCGACGTATACAAAATTTACCAATCGATACGAGGGAATTCTGACACAGAAAGGGTCAAACTTCAGGACAAGGAAACAATCAGTACCAATACAGGTAGCCTAGAGAACGTGAAAACACACAAAAACAACCAATCACGCTTATGGTCATCCACCAGGAGAGATGCCTAATAAACTGGTGGAGAAATCTAAAAGCTCATTTCAACAAATTGAAGTGTTCGCTGAAGATGTTGCCCAACAGGGCTATGAAAGCTTCGCAGATTAACTATCCAGCTGAGAGAACACAACCACATCAAAACCATCCACCTGAACTATAAATCTTCTCCATCATCTCTTTATTAAAAAAGTGTACAGTTTAAACAAACTTTTGTCCATTAGCAAGCATATTGTCAGAGGGTCATAGTGAAATAAGGCGTTGCGATTTACAAGATGTCTAAAGTGTTACGACATATATATATATATCTTGTTAGATAGAAGTTTCTTGAAAAAAATTAATTAACAGTTGTGTTGTTGGGGTGGCAACAAGAGAAAATTAGTAATAGTTACGTAATTAGATAAGAGAAGATCAAAATTTCGGTGCACATGAGGTCAGATGAGAAGTTGATGAGCAGAACTTATCTTATCTTTTCACTCTCCCCTCTTAATTTTTCGCTTGACTCTCTTAAGAGATAATTTTTCTTAATCTTCTGAGTTTTGCTCACTGTATTGCATCATCAACTTCTAATCTGACCTCATGTGCACCGAAATTTTGATCTCCTCTTATCTAATTACGTAACTATTACTAATTTTCTCTTGTTGCCACCCCAACAACACAAATGTTAATTAATTTTTTTCAAGAGACTTCTTTCTAACAAGATATAATGATAGTAATTTGCTTTATAAATAAATATATATATATATGTCGTAACACTTTAGACACCTTGTAAATCGCAACGCCTTATTTCACTATGACGTTCTGACAATATGCTTGCTAATGGACGAAAGTTTGTTATAACTGTACACTTTTATTTTATTAAAGAATTCAGGCTGTACGCAGCTGATGAGAACCGACGAAATAAAATGGATCCAGACTATTCTGCGCCAATGTTTCTTCTTTCTTTGTTCAAATTTATAAAAGGGAATCGTTCCCAGAGGTTCTTGGTACTAATTATTCCTGACTGATCATTTCATATTCCTTTGACATCCAAGAACATGTAGAGTTTGTTTTTCGGCGCAAGTGAAGTTTCATTTCTCCGAATTCGTGCTTTGATATCTTTATGAATGACTCTTGTTGGGTATCCATTTTGGATGAAGATTTCTCTCAATGTTTCTAATTCAAAAGAATAGACACGGAACTAAGAGAACTCTTTTCGATAAATTCATCATTAGGTTCTACAATTATATATACATTATAATGAATGAATGAGTTGGTCTTATGAACGACATTAATGCTGTTTAAATAACATCGAATCAATAATATTGATAAATTACAGCTGAACAGCATCAACATCAAATAAGCTGAATGTCAGAAGAATTAGGAAAGGTAATAGTACAAATTCATGAGTTTATAGTCTCTACTGAGGCAGCGAAATGGGAAGCTGTTGGTGGGAATCTGCAGTAGCGTGGTAGAAATGCTTTTGGTGACAACGTGTGAGCTAATTCTCTGAACTATATCTAGAAGCACCGGCTGACTTAACATTAGTTTGTAAATCTGAATCTTGTTGCTTATGCTGAGTGTGGTAAATTTTCAAAGTGATTTGAACCTCAGATTATAGAGTTTATGGGGATTTCGTTCAGGTAACCTGAAGGTACTTGTTTCAATCCCTAGTGAAGTCGTGGGTTCTTACTACTGAAAAATCTAAGATCCAGTCTAGGATGAAGCATCTGTTTTTAACTGATGTTGGTTCTTGGCGGAAATCTAAAAATTGTGACTTCAGTTTAATGAACATATGTATTGATTTTCCGATAGTGATCGACTTTGACATCCTCACATCCGAATGCGACACTTTTATAAACAAGCAACTTGATTGCTCAGAATCGTCGAGATTGAAATAGAACAGGATAAGGATGCTGATGTTGGACTTAGATGCGCTGATCTCGGATACCGCTTGACTATGCCAACAACATTATCCAATAGCTACTACCTGTTTACTTAGACAGCTCTACTTAAGTGACAACACACAGTGGCGTCGTCAGCCGCAAAGTATATTTCACGCAATACTGCGTTATTAAAAAAAAATCACCAGGGACATGTCAGTTAGTCTGAATTCATGATCGATAGAATATTTGGCGTTGTTTCACATCGACTAGTCGCTATCCGTATATTTCCAGACTGGACATCAATCACCATATCACCTCCTCCTTCAGAAAATACGTATTACTTGGGGTCAACGTGACACCGCACCGTTTATTTTCTACACCTCTCTGACCTACACCAAGGAGGTGGCCTGCTGTTTGCTGGGATGTCTAGAGCATTTGTGGCCTCTTCCACATCTGAGCGTGAGCTATATTACGCTTGAGAACAACTTTTTGTTCAAGACGGGAGAGTTCGCCATCAACCTGTGGTGATGAAAAACCTAGCTCAGGTTGGGAAACGGTTACTTGTTGAGGATGGCTGTTATGAGTATCATCGTATCTGTTTCTGTGGCTAAAATCATCTTTGTGCCCAATATTATTGTAGTCTTGGCGTCGACGTTGCTAAAAAGGAGAAGATTTTATGAAATGCTAAGCACTACAATGCTAGCAGGTTGATCGAGGTCTCATCTTTGGGCGCCGATTGGTGGTGGTATTGTGTGAGTAACTGAGACAATGGACGTTTGAGGTGGGACCAGAAAGTGTCGGGCCAGAAGTCGATGCAGAAATTTTGAGAGCCCCAGCGAACGGCATTGATTTCAAGAACACACTGGCGTCCAGATTCAACTAAACTGGTTGTCCAACGTAGAAAAATTCAGTAAATCGGTCGCTAAAAGATGTTAGGATTTGCACAAAAAAACGTGAAGATTAAAATCAACCAGCATATCATACAAATGACTATTCTAATCATACTAAATATCCCCATAGTAAAATTTAGAACAACACATTTAAGCGAACAATATTGTGCTTTCAATTAGATCCCATCAGGCTTAACTCTAATATATCTATATAAGTTTACAAATAAAAATTCAAATATAAACCAATCATGGTGTTTTGTCTATAGGATAATACGATGGTGAATATCAATTGTGCAATTGGTCATAATAGTAGTAATGATAATACTCATAATAATAATAGTAATAATAAAAATGGTCTTATCAATAATAAGGATGAAAAAGTGAGGCAATCTGTGATAACACGAATAATGAAAAAAACAGCATGATTAAACAAACAACTGTTCAGGTGGAAGAAGTCGATACAGGCTAGTAAAAACAAATGAACCGATTAAGAGATGATAAGAAAGGTGTTGAAAATATAAACAAAGGGTGGTGTAGAAGTCATTAGTTGGTTATGTCTTAATAGGCCAAAGGAAGGATAATGGCTGTACGAACGTTTAATAGTTCGAACGCCTATCGCCTGCCTCAGCTGTGTGCAGTAGACGAATACGAAGTTCATTGGAATGATTCGGTCGGAAACGATGAATTACTTTGAAGGCTGTCGTTTTCTCCATTACATTACCATTATCAGTTAAGTGTGACAAAATTGAGCTATGGATTGTTTTTGTCTGTCCTTTGCCAAACCACGATGGGAGATGTTCAGTAGTGACACGTTGGCTAAGCTGTCTAATATTACGCCCAATATAACTGTCACCGCAGGTGCAGTTGAATTGGTAAATGCACATAGATCTGTCGAAACTATCAAGCTTATCCTTCGTTTGCGTCTCAATCATTCGTCGGCTAGAGAATGACAAACATAGGTGTGCTGCATAAAATGTTCTTCGTATGCTCCTTGAAAGTTTTTGGAATAGAATCTCACTTGATAAGTCACCATTAAATTGTAACTTAACAAATAGAGGTTTCTTACTAATCTTACTGAATAACCGTCAGTATGATGTGTTATTTTTTTATTATTTTTTTAATTGTTTTGTTAGGACGTCGATGATGATGATGATAACCAACCTGATAATAATGATCATAGCCATAAACTGGCTGTGAAAATCTGTTCACCAGTTCATCCAAATTTAGATAATCCAACACATTGCCCTACAATCAATGATGATATTATGGCAAAATCCTGTCAACACTCTTCTAATTCAAATCTTCGTGATGCATATGCTTTATATCGTCAAGAGCATCGTAGATGGTTACATCATCCAATTGAAGCAGCATTAACCGCTTATCAGGTAAGTTAGTTGTGATTATTTGTTGATATCATGTCATGAGTGTTTGAATGTCTGAGGGCGTGTGTGTGTGTGTGTTTGTATGTTTTAAAGGGATAGTGAAGAATTGGCTCTTTGGTTTAACTGCTACTTGACTTTCAGTCAGCGGGGGTGGGGTGGGGTTTTCGGGTTGAAGACAGATGGTTGTCTTAAGGGACCATCCGCTCTCCACACCACTAGCTGTTGACTTGAAGTTTTATCAGCTAGACGACAGCCGAGTGGCGTCAGGAGTTACATTCAATCTTTTCAGATTCTGGAGACCATGTACACCACACAGATTTTTCGCACTCAAGGTTTTCCAGATCCCCTAAGTAAACATGGAAACTGGGCATAGCCTCATCAACCTCCTACTCAATAAGTATGGCTTATGGCTTGGTACATAAAAGGCTTTTCCCTGATAATTGAGCTCTGATCAACATTTATTTAAGGTTTTTGGCTGTTTTGTAAATATATATATATGACGAAGCTTCCAACACAATTTACAACTATACAACTTCGAAACCTGCGTTTTACAGTTCTCTTTATTCCTTCCTATTCACTGTACGGGTAGTAGAATTTTCCAGATGATCGGGTGAACAGGTGTTGAATCATTTCGGTTACACGTATTTTCAATGAATTGGACAAATAAAGCTTCCGTTATCAGTCGCTCCCCACCCTCACCCCCACCATGTTACCTACATTTCATTTTAGAACTGTCATCTTATCCTACATCCGATCGTATAGTTGCGTGTAATTGAAAGTAGTGCTGTAATCTATTCCCCAGTATTTCTTTTCTTATTCGGGTCAACTAATCTATATTTCGCTAGATTTATGTGCTCCGCTATTCTGGCTGAATCTGTTCTACTAATTTGACCCGACAATAATTACAGGGTCTTATGTAAAATAAAACGTTTTGTCTGAAGGGCTTCACCGACAAAGTTTATTTCTAAATGAGTTTGTGTTTTTGAATGCTGGCCACTTTTACCAATTCTACTTAGTGTTTCCGAGGTCCCTTCGTTGTCTGAAATTACTACCGATGTGATGATTTAAATTCCTTATTGTCGGCTTTGCGCGTCGGTGGTTCAGCGGTAAGATGCTCGCCAACCACCCATGTGGTCCGGAGATCGATCCGTGGCCGACGCATTCCCAAACGTTGTTAATCCAGTAAAAAAGCTAGTAAAGAGGGAAGGTTGGGCTTGAGGCTGGTAATCTCACCCCATAAAAATAAAACTGTCGCCAGCGAAACTTCAGAGCTCGAGCTTGAAGCCCTCTGTTCCACTCGGAAAGCAAAGGAATAAAAAAATTGTTGGTGTTGCCGTCTATCTGTGCATGTGTCATACCATTATTATAACTGTTTATTATTATTATTTTCACATTTCCCTGCATACTTCCTGATTAATTTCTCTGGGCAATTATTAGGTTTTAAAGCTTCTCTTATAGGCCTCAATTCCTCTCTTTAGATATTCCTTGGTACTATGTAGTTTTTGTGGCATATAACTTGAAAATTTGAATAGTCCTTTTTTCATTGACATTGGGTGGGATGAATCGAAATCCAAATATTGGTTTGAATGTGTACGTTTTCTGTAAACACACTAGTGTGTTTAACTTACCATCTTTTTTTCCTGTTTTATGATACGATCTAATATTTTAAGCTCCCTCCCCCTTTCTGACTTTCCAATTCATAAGTCATTCGAGTTACGTTTACCTTAGAGTCGATATGTTCAATTAATTTAGTTATGTGTTGTGTTTTTATGAAAGTGAATGTGTCATCCGCATACCTTCACCATACTCTGTGGGGGTCCATTTTGATCTTTTCAATCGCTAAGTTTTCCTACCTATCCATGAATATATCTACCATTACACCACTACCATTTACAGTTAGCGTATGTTACCGGGAGAGATGCCTATTTTAAGTCGAGTTTGAACGCCATAGGAGGGAAAAGAATTGAACAATTTTTTTCTGAACACGAAGATTGAGCTGAAAATTTTTCTTATGGCAACTGCCTCGAAGGTGTGCAAACTCAGGGGATTAAGGTGGTGGCACCTTGTATAGAATTGTAAAGAAAGAATTCTTTTTTTCAATCCTGTGATCCGTATCTGCTAGATGTACCAACCAATATGGTGGAACTCCTGATTAACTTAATGACTCCTCTGTCTAACGACATTTGACAATATTCAAGAAGGTGACGGTGAGCTTGACGAGTCTTTCTACCTATGTGGCTTCCTCCACAAGAGTAGCTGAATTTATAGATGCACGTTAAAGTGGCCAGACTCGGTAGCTTTTGCTTCATGTGCATTGGAATTATACAAGGAACAAGTGGTGAATTTTAAACAGAGTGTTGCAGGATATTTTCTGGAAATAAAATCATGGATTGGCCACCAATAATACATGCATTTCAGGTTGTTTGTTCCCCTTGCATACAAACAAAATCACTGATGTTTTGTGCTAGGGAAATCTGCAAAACTGACACTCCGGACTATGAAATAATGAGAATAGAAAACTTATTGTAATGAGAACGGATATGCAGAAAAATTTGTTAAAAACTCAATGATGGGAACACAGGTTGAGAGAAATATGTACAAACTGTGCAGAGGAAACACGCATGCATATGGACTTTATCGTTCAAATAACACGACTCGTCAAGCTCATTGTTGCCTTTTTGAATATTTGAATAAGGCATTAAGAAGACAAATTTCGCGAGATGATATCATTTCGTAGTTTCTTTACAACCACTTTACAACTAACATGGTTAACAATAATAAAATAAAGTTCATGACAATTACTCAGTTAAATAAAAACAAAAGTACATACTAATGACCAATCATATTTAGATAGGTCAAGTAGTCCAGGGTAGGTGAAGATTGAAGTCTATTGATTTTTGTACACACAGTTTAGGCTGTATGTGATTAATCCAAAGTGCTTCCATCACCTTCAATAACCTTGAATTAGAGTTATGTGAAATAATTGTAAAACAGTCATTAATATTTATTTTGTGACCTGACATTAATAAGTGTTTTGCAATGGATGATGATGGATTTCTATTCAGATTACTGGCATTGGGATTTACTATATGATTTAGTAACCATTTTGGAACATGTTCTTTTCGACGACATTGGAACATTCTGTTGGTTCTACCTATATAGGTGTCACAGCAGCTGCAGGTGAACTTGTAGATACAGTTTGAAGTAGAGTCCACAGAATTTCGTCCTTTAATCGTAGGCACAGGGATCGAAAATGTTCGGCACGTGAGGAAAAGAGATGCGGCGTAGAATGTGCGTTTGATGGCTGACCGAAGTCTTTGAGCTGTCAACTGCATAATCTGGTCACCCTTGAATGGTAGGTTAATAAAGATAGCTTTCTTTGGTACCGAAGCTGTCTTTTCGAGATGCGGTCTATCTAAATATGATTGGTCATTAGTATGTACTTTTGTTTTTATTTAACTGAGTAATTGTCATGAACTTTATTTTATTATTGTTAACCATGTTAGTTGTAAAGTGGTTGTAAAGAAACTACGAAATGATATCATCTCGCGAAATTTGTCTTCTTAATGCCTTATTCAAATTTATCAAAGGGACTAATTGTTTCACTTTTTGAATATTGTCAAATGTCATTAGACAAAGGAGTCGTTAAGTTAATCAGGAGTTCCGCCATATTTAATAATAATAATAATTTACTCCGAAACAGTACTTGTGATACAGAATGGAATTCTCAGCATTTTTACTACAGTATTGCATCCAGTTAGTACATTATCAATAAATAAAATTCTACATAGATTAAGGAAATCTCAGTTCATTATGAAAACAACATATTGACATGTCAGTAGCAAAGCCAAAGTTGAACAGTGTTCGAAGGTGTTAGAAAAGTAGGTGCTGTCATATTTACTGCCGTAAGCGGAAGAAAGAAACAAAGCAGCACATAACGGAAAGAGAGAGAGAGAGAAAAGGAAAAGAAAGAAAGAAAACGTTGTACCTATAAATGATATGAGTTAGAAAGACGCGGTCCAGCTGTTCTACTGACTATTTAATAAGCTATAGGTATCACGCTTAATGCTTTCTTTATCGCACAGAACACGAGCTAAGTAGGGTATGGTTGAGTTTTTGTACTTGCAAGTGCGAGCATATAGTTTTCTATATATATTGGCTGGTACGTCTAAGGGATACGGATCACAGGATTGATAAGAAGAATTCAGTCTACATAATTCTATACAAGGTGCCACCATCTTAATTCCCTGAGTTTTTACACCTTCGATTGCTAAGCTTAGCTGAGACAGTTGTCACAAAACATTTTCAGCTCAATCATTGTGTTCAGAAAAAGTTTGTTAAATCCCTCTCCTTCTGATAACACAAACTAATGACTGCAGACAATTAATGATATGGTTCAAATCCATCATTCTCAATGGCTGGCTCAGATGCATTCATCCTATGGGATTTATAATATCTAATAAAATTCTTCTCTTCCCCTCACACTTCTGTTTATTATCTCTGTTTTGACTCTCTCTTCACTCTCTTCTCTTGCTCTCTGTGCTACATGGAGGGTGTGTGGCAACTGGAACTGCTGCACATTTGTGTAAAATTCTACGTTGAAACCAGTCAGTCAGTCTGTCACTAGTGGCTTTTAACTCCAATCTAAACGTTAAGCCTAGTGAGAGTTTATCGATTTCGTCATGAACTGATATCGGTTAGAGGACCATTGAAAGACCTGGGATTACTGGTCAGTTGTTTTGTCCTGGTTTTGGACTCTTCACCAGTACGCACCCACCACCAGGGTTCAAACCCAGGACCTCCAGGTTACAAGGCGAGCTCGTAGACCATTGAGCCACTACGAACCGGTCTAATGGTCAGCCCATGAATTCCGACTTCTGCCAATTTATGACATGATGCGACCACTAGCGATCTGCTTACTTACATCGTTTTCTAAAATTTTTCTTCTAAAAATTGTTTTCATAATGTTTATATTGTTGGTTTTGATTTTCTAATCCCTACAGGAAATTCGATCTGAATTAAATATCCTTTTACCAATCACACGGAATTGTTTCAATTGCTTATATCGAATGAAATTCAATAGGCATAATCCAACCTCTCCACATTATAACTCTAATTCTATGAGTAAATTATTCATTTGGGGTGGTGGTGGCGGCGCTGTTAGTTTACAAGAAAGGCGATTGATGCATGGTTGTTTTAGTAAATGTTTACAGAAAAATGAATCATTATATACCAATACTACTAACAATGATAATAGTAGTATCATCAGTTGTAATGATGACAAACATCATAATAATAATAGATTTATTGCCAATATTCATGTATCTCAACAAAATACAAACCTGCTTATTTGCTGTGGAATCCTTTACCCTAATCCAATTGGATTTTTAATGCCTCTGGCGCCATTGGGTAATCTATCAGATTACTTCACGACATTGTTAGCATCATCATCAACGTCATCGGGTAAAGAGGTGTTGAATGAGGTATTTCTCAGTCATCCGCTGCATCCGCTAACAATGATGTTTATAATCAATCAGGTATGATTATTCTTGATTTCAAAATGTACTTTATCTTCTTTCTTTTCTGTTTCATGCATGTCTATTGAACGTTTATTGATTTTAACTGATTAAAAATGCCCATTGACACCACTGACTCCTAGTTTAGAAATAGGGAGTGAAGTGGTAGAGCGTGTTGACCACTTCACTTATTTGGGAAGTACCATCAGCCAACGCCAGCGGGTTGATCTCTGACGAAATCTCAGCACGGATACAGAGGGCTAGTTTCGCATATGCCAGTTTACGCTGTCTCTGGCGTAGACGTGATATCCTGCTGGCTACCGACCAAAGGGCGGGTGTACTCCTCAGCAGTCCGTTCTGTCCTCGTTTATGGCTGTGAGAGCTGGCCATTGAGAGTGGAAGACATGAAAAGATTAGCTGTCTTCGATCATAGGTCTCTGCGTTCTATCTCCCGTGTGAATTGGTATCATAAGGTGAGCAATATTGAGGTTAGGCTTCCAGTGAGTGCTAGGTGAGTTGGAGGGGAAATCAGTCGACGAGACTGTGAAATTACATCGACTGAGATGGTTAGGACGTGTTACATATGCCTAGTAATCACCTTCCTTGACAGACGGGCAATGTTAGCTGATATAGGGCCAGACTGGAAAAGGGCTAGCTGCGGTCAAACCAAAACATGGCACCAGTCAATGAAATCCACAACAGTTAGTTTAAGCCAGCCATGTAGGAAGGTGTAGACTTTTTGGTTGGGGTCCTCGGAACGGTAAGAACCAATGGCAGTGGATGAAGACAATTGGTGATATGGCTGAAACTCATCGTTCTCAATGGCCCGCGCAGGTGCATCCACTCCTTATGACTTATGATTTCCAATGAAACTGCTTTGTTCTTCGTTATTACTACTCCTTTGTCTCACACCTCAACTTACTGTCTCTAGTATGCATTTCTTCTACTTTCTTCTCTTGCATTGTGTGCTACAAGAAGTATGGCGGCTCGAACTGCTGCACATTGGTGCGAAGTTCTATGTCGAAAACAGACAGACAGAGTCCATTGACATTTTTTTGAAAAAAATGGTTACCGAACAAAGAATATTCACATTTGCAATAACCTGCTCTTCTTCATCAGGTTCTACAGTTATATGCATCCATCCATAATAGTGAATGAATGAATTAGTGGTTAATAACAACATTAATCAATAATAATAACAGTGGATTACATTCAAATGAACTGTCGTCAAGATTTGACAGAATAGTTCTAAAATATTTGGGCGCCTCTGTAATGTTAATTTTGATTAATTTCCCTGAAGAAGTTCGGTCCAGATTGCCGAAAGTAGGAAACGTTGGGGATTACTCATTTCAATCTCGCTAAGAGATTTTACAAATGTTTACTTCTCACTCGGCGCCCAAATATTTTAGAACTATTTTGTCAAATCTTGACGAAAGACAGTTCATTTGAATTATTTTGCAATCGAATTAAATTAACAAGGAAGCTGTGTAATTGGCACAATCATCGTGTTTTCACTCTCCGTTGGCTGCAACAGAATGCATATCCTAAATCCGTAGCTGTCGAGTCACCTGACAACTCCAGTAGGTCGAATAAAGCAGCTCAATATTCATAAAGAAGACAAAGCAATAAGTTCGACAGGGTGCTTCAACTAAACTTTAATCCTAAACACCATAATCTTGAAAATACGTCAATATAACATTCTAGATATTCTAACAGTTTGAACAAACATGAAGGTGTTATGTTAGCTGATACATAACAAATCCTGATTAATAAATAAAAATGGATATGTATCACTAATTAATAATACTTGGTCAAGACTCCCGATTGTCTATATTTTCTTATGGAGACGTTAAGAAATGTTTTACAACTATTTACCCACACACACACACAAGTTTTGATCACAGCTCATACAATTTTGTTTATTATACTTGTTGATACTTTTTGAATGACTCATGATTGGACGAAGTTTTAAAAACCAGAGATGTTCCTTTTATATATATAAATCTCTGTTATGTTAATTTTGATTTCCCTGAAGAAGTTCGGACCAGATTGCCAAACGAAACGTTGAGATTACACATTTCAATCTCGTTGAGATTTTACAAATATAATTTTTTACATTGGATTATAGTTGAATAGCATCAACATAACAATACACAATATTAAAGATAATAATACAAATTTATGAATTTATAGTCTCTACTGAAGACCACCCAGGGCAGCAGTGGTGGCTTGGCCTACTTCTTCTGCACGCAAAGCACTGGTTGTCTCATGCGAATCGCGATGACCTCTGCTGTTCGGAGTATGTGGTACCTGGATGTTTTTGGTAATTTATTTGGTACTCGGTAGATGGTAGAGCAGGATTCTTCATTGCTGGCTGCTTTGTGGCCCGTTTGGACCAGATGGTCTAATATCAAACTGTTGATGGTTTTTATTACACCTTTATTTAGCCATACTGGGAGATGTTCCCGAACAAGCACAAAAAATCAAGTTCCTAGAGCAACGGCCGATATAACTCGCTCCACCACAAGCTCAGTTGAATTGGTAGATACAATTAGAAGTGGCTGGCTGGTCTAGGTACTTCATCTTTCAATCGAGGAATCACCACCATAGGTCGTGTGGAAAATAAGACTTGTTGTTCACCAGCTTAAAAGTTCTTTACTCAACTTGTTAGTAATTATTGCACTCGGTACGTTACCCTCGAGTTGTGGTCGTATATATAAGGGCTTCTAATTTATTCACTATTATTCACTGTAGAACCTGATGAAGAGCAGGTTATCGAAAAGAATATTCTTTGTTCAGTAACCGTTCTTTTATTGATTTTTATTCATATGTCTAATCAATTTTTACTCATGTATCTAAACGAAGCAAGAAAATGGTTTTAGTACCTTGATGTCATTATGAGCAGCCATAAATTGTGCTCGAAACCTTGTTATCCAGTTGTTAATACTGCATCACCACTGTGTGATATTTAAAAATAAACTTATCTAATATGGAATTACATTCTACCACAGTGATCAAGTTCTTTTTTATTCCATTACATTCCCAGTGGAACACATGAGGGCTTCAAGCTAGAGGCTTGAAGTTTCGATAGTAGTAGTGTTTATTACTTTTACGTGATGGGGTTGCTAGCCAAGCTTCATGCCCAACTTTCCCTCCTTACCGGTGTAATTACTGGCTTAGCGAGGTGAAGGAGTGTGTTAGTGACCGGGAATCGAGCCCCGGACCACATGAGGCGTGGTTGGCGAGCATTCTACCTCTGTGCCACCAACACACTCGGTTGAAAATTCGATGAATTCATTTTCTCATTGATTTCTTACAATAACTTACAATTCTGCAACTCTTCTCCTTGTTGTTATTGTTGCTTTTGTTTCCTGTTCTGATGAATATAGTTAGCCAAAGCACTTGCTCATCTGCATTCTTTATGTATTATCCATCGTGATGTGAAATCAGAGAATGTACTGATTTGGTTAATGCCAGCTTCAGTGATGACGACGACAACGACGTCATCTCATCATCAACGACGTCGCCGCTGGCAAATGACTCCAATAATCCATCAAATGTGCATATTGTATTAACAGATTTTGGTGCAAGTCGATTTATGAGTTCATCGAATGGTGGTTGTAGAGGATATGTTGGTACAACGGGTTATATGGCGCCTGAAATTTTAGAGTATTTAGGTGAACAAACATATACTACAAAGGTGAGTGAGTTAATGTGATACGCTTCTTTTGTCAATTTTGTGTCAGTTCATTTCGGTTAAGGTTTACCTTTTTTTGAAGATTTAGTGGTGTGGGGTTGCTAGCCCCACGTCCAACCCTCCCTCTTTGCCAGGGTTTGGGACCAACAAGAAACCATCATCAAAGACCACAAGAAAATTCATTCTACCATACATGAGGAATATCTCTGAAATAACAGCTGGAATACTGAAACCGTTTGATATAGTAATAGCACACAAGCCTTAATTCCATATTATTCAAATCAAAAGATTCAACAGAAAAAGGGGATAAAATTAATACCATTTACAAAATAAATTGTATGAACTGCAACAAGCATTACATCGGCCAAAGTGGGCGTCGTCCCCTTCGAATCAGAATCCAAGAACACAAATCAGCCGTGAAAAGACACGATTTGTATTCTTTAGTATCAATGCATATAGAAAATTATGGTCATCAATTTGATTGGGAAAAAGGAAACACCAAAAGTGCCAGGGAATTCCTAGAAGCCTGGTACTCAAACGAAAATGCAATTAACAAACACGTTAATATAGACGAAATATACCAACTAATAAAAAGTAAATCACATGTGACGAGAAAGTTTCAAATCCAAGTCAATAATAAAAATGATCAATACATATGTAAAGATGGTTACCAGGAGACGCAATTCTATCTATCGCTCATGAAGAAATTTAAATCAGTTCACTTTGTGCTAAATATAGCGCTGAAGATGTTGTCTATACACGGGACGACGAAAGCTTCGCAACTAAACCAACCAGCTCAGAGAACACTTTTAATTGCAAAACTAGGGAGCTTGTTAACTAGGCGAAGCCTATTATCACTGATGATATTCTTGTGCGTCGGTGGCACAGTGGTTAGGACTCTCGCCGACCATGCACATGGTCCGGGGTTCGATCCCCTGCCGGCGCACACCCGATATCTATGGTATGCCTGAATTTGGGCAACCGATATCCATGCTGAAAATTCCATACTTGTACTGAAAATACGGTGTGGAATCAAGCTGTAAATCAAAATAAAAAAATAAAATAAAATTAATTGTGGTAGACTGTATTATGCGTCAGACTGTTAGGGGCGAGGAGTCAAAAATACGCTGAACCACCGATAAGAAGACTCTAGAAGATACGGACTTCACAGATGATATATTTCTAGTGTCACACAAACTTGAAGACCTGCAGGCGAAAAATAACAAACTGGCTAAAGTGGCAGGCACCGAAGACAAGACTGCAGGTGGACATAGAGAAGGTGGAGGTGATGAAGATAACCAACCAACCAACAGCAAAAACAACAGCCAGTACCAATCACCACCAATGGGCGAGATTTAACAGAGGTCACTTCCTGGCTTCACTTATCTGGGAAGCATCTTTTCAACTACAGACAGTCGGAACGGACGAAGATCTCGACACCAGCCAGAATCGGAAAGGCATGATACGCCTTCATCAACCTGAAAGCATTTTGGAAATCTTCTGCATTTCACTCAGCCTGCATAAGGAACAAGATTCGGATTTTCAACACCAATGTCAAGTCGGTTTTTCTATATGGGTCAGAAACTTGCACTACGTGTCACGAAAAGGATTTCCAACAGCCTGTTGCAGACTTTCATAAACAGCTTCCACCTTCACTTGCTCCATTCTGGAGACCAAATGGCTGGAGAGAATAAGCAACAAGAAACTGTGGGAACGAACCAACCGAGAGCTGATTGCTCAACAAATATTTAGGAGAAAATGGAGATGGATCGGGCATACATTGAGGAGGCCACCAAATGACATCGCACGCCAGTCTAGTGCTGGAGTGCAATCCAAATAGGAAGCGACTATTGGGTTGTCAGTGCGAGGGTGACATGGAGGAGATCGTGTGAGGAGGAGAAGAAGGAGATGAGAGATTCTGGTCAATTGTGGACCCACCTGAAGAGCACAGCACCAAAAAGAACACGGTGGAGGTGTGTTGTTGAAGCCCTATGTTCCACTCGGAATGCAAGGGAATAATAAAAGTATTATAATAATAAGGTTTACGTTGTGGTTGAACTGGCTTACATATCGCACCTAACATATCACCAAACAAGCTTCACTGGCTAGAACTAATATTCCTGCATGTCTTGTTATTCGAGAAACGTCGTTTGGATAGCGAGTAAACTAAAAAAACACTTGTCATCACATAATGTAACCTGTTTACACTATAGTGGGAGTCTGTGGAGGAGTGGAGAAGTCTTACTAATTCCGAATAGAGGTATGTAATAGCAGAAAGGTGTTTTCCCTCAGATGACTAGCAAGCCCCAGTTATGTTACCTCTCCGCTCTGGAGAACGCGGAGAGAGGAGAGGTTAGGAAAAGGTCGATTCCGAAGAGTGTACATCCCGACTTACCTTGAGGCAGTAGTCCGTAGCTCACGGAAGCAGTTCCAAAAAACCACTTCAGACAGATTGTGTGTGTGTCCAGCCGCAAGCAGTGGTTCCTTAGACTGTGCGGTCACATAACACAATACTGCTCTTTATGTTTCGCGTACTCCAAGAAGTAGAATATTACAACACAGTGGTCAGCAAAAGTGGCATACTGTGGGGAGCTAGAACATAGGGATACATTGGACCGGTAGGAAGACTTTAGAAGATCTAGGCCTCGCCGACGATTTATGTTTAATGTCACAGAAGTTGGAATAGTTACAGGCGAAAACCAACGAAATGAAGATAACCAACTAGCCAACCACAACAATAAGAACGACAACAAGCACCAATCACTATCAACGTGCGAGATCTGAAAAAGGTCACTTCCTTCAATTTTCTGGGCATCACTGTTTCAACTCCAGGCAGCGCTCTACGGATAAACATTTCTGAGCCATCCAGGATCGAAAATGCAAGACAGGCCTTTATCGCTATGAAATTACTTTGGGAATCTTTTGCTCTCGGAATAAACAAAAAATGCGAATTTTCAACACCAATGTTAAATCAATCAATGCTTCTGTATGGGTCAGGAACTTGGCAAATGAGCCATGAAAAGGATTTCCAACAGCCTACTGCTGGCGTTTATCAACAGCTGCCTCCTTCTCTGGCTCCATACATAAGATCAGATGGTTGGCCGGCCGTCCAGAAAGAATTAGCAACAAGAAACTCTGTGAATGAGCCAATTGAGAAGCTCTTTTTCAACAGATATTCCGGAGGAAAATAAGGTGTATCGAACACATTCTGAGAAGTCTGTTGGTTGACATCTCAGGCTAGACCCTCAAATGGAACCCGAATATGGAATGATGAGTTGGACATCACTTCGAGGACCGCCATGGGGAGCGATTGATGAGTCAGCTAAGACAGAGTGCTAAAGCCTCATGTTCCATTTGTAATCCAAGAGTATAATAATAGTAATAAAAAGCGAGATATGTATTTGTGAAAGTTTTATGTTTTGTGCATTCGTTATTAAAAGTGTCTCCTTCCACTCTCCCCCACCCGCCTCCTACTTTTAGGTGGATATTTATGCTCTGGGAATTTTAATCTGTGAAATGATTCAATTAGAACAACCGTATAAAAAATCATCCTCTATGTTATATCGACTAACTCAAGAAGTTATATCAGGTGTACGCCCTGAAATCCCATTACATGTAAGTCATAACATGTAGATAGATGGATATTTTCTATTCCGTTCAATTCTGTTTTTTAATGATGGTTTGTGTAGGTATAACTGTTGAAAGCCAGGGAACGCTATCCAGCTATTTCGTCCTGGTTTGGCGCTCTTCAGAAAGTGTACACAGCCATTTCCCACCTACAAGGGATCGAACCCAGGACAGTCAGGTGAACTCAAATACCATTTCATCCACTGATGGGCTATCCATTGGATAACATCCCCTTTGGCTGAAAGCTTAACGAGTTCGCCGTGTATACTGAAGGTCATGGGTTCATGAGTGGATAGTGCTGAAGAGTTACAGTGTCCACTTATTGCCTGGTGTTCAACGGTCCTCTAACTGATATCACTTTGTAATCAAAATTGGAATCAATCAATTCGCTTATTATTTTGTTTGGCGTAACGATTGGTATTCATAATGCGATTTAGATAACTTTCAAAATAAGTTGTATCCAATGTATGTAATAATAATAATAATTTGCTTTATTCCAAAACAGTACTTGTGATACAGAATGGAATTCTTAGCATTTATACTACAGTATTGCATCCAGTTAGTACATTATCAATAAATAGAATTCTACATAGATTAAGGAAATCTCAGTTCATTATGACAACAACATATTGGCATGTCAGTAGCAAAGCCAAAATTGAGCAGAGTGTTTGAAGGTGTTAGAAAAGTAGATGCTAGCGTAAACGGTAAGAAAAAGGTCGAGATATACGGAGTGTGAAAGAACGAAGAAGAATGTTTTAAGTAGAGTTTGTAGGGAGGAGAGAAACAAAGCAGCACATAACAGAAAAAAGAGAGAGAGAAAAGGAAAAGAAAGAAAGAAAACGTCATATCTATAAATGTAATGCGTTGGAAAGACGAGATCCAATTGTTCTACTGACTATTTAATAAGTTATAGGTATCTTAAGGATATTTATTTCAATTCGTAGATTCTTGTCATGAACCAACATCATTTAGATCATTCGAAGCCTCCAGGGAGCATTGAACAGCTTTTCCATGCTACTTCAGGGCTCTTCATCACTAAACACCCGCGACCCTGCCAGGATCAAGCTGGAACTGCATCGTCTGTTTTCTGTACCTTTCAAATCGACGTCCAAGAAGCAGTCCGTTCCTAGGTGGAAGGTTTGAAGCTTTCGTGGCATCCTTCGTATGATGTAGTCCGCAGGTTTCCAGAAAAATATTCGGCGTCAAACCGTTAGTTGTCTCACCTTCGGAAGGCGCCCGCCGTCTCAGTTAGTTCTTGTGTCATGTCCACGTCTCCCCCTCTGTCTCTCTTTAGCGACTTTGATGTCATACATGACATTACCACAACTGACGTTAATCAGCCATTCTGTCCACTTACTGTGTCCTGCTCTGTAATCTCTAACAAACACAGATGTTTCAGTTGTGAAGCATTTTGGGATGTCTGATGAATTATCAGCAGGTAGCGGGTAACGGCGTCGGTGGCATAGCGGTTAGGACGCTCGCCGACCATGCACATGGTCCAGAGTTCGATCCCCGGCCGACGCACTGCTTTACCCTGCCAAGCCAGAAATAATACTGGTGAAGCGGAAAGGTTGGGCATGAGGCTAGCAACCCCATCCTGTAAAATAAACACTGCTACAGAAACTTCAAGCCACTAGCTTGAAGCCGTGTGTTCCACTGGGAACGTGAAGGAAAAAGCAAGCGGGTAGCGGTTCATTGCCACCTCCACACCATTGCGTGAAAGATTGTAGCACAAACAAAACCATGCCTGAAAACATCTTGTTGTTCAAGACTGGAGATTTCGGTGTCACCTCGTGTTATTGAAGCATATGGTACTGGGGTCTTTCGTTGGCGTAACAGACGTACTCAGTTACTATTATTTCACTCCCCAATCCTGTTTCATGCTCATAATGTGGTAAGCTATGGCTTGTCGACGTTCAGATGTCCTACTAGATAGCATTACCAATCCAACAAAGTAAAGTACCTTGATAGTACAGTTTTTGTATTGCAAGCATATATTATTATTATCATTACTTTTATAATTTATGTCAATTTTAGTTCATTAAACGTTGTCCATCTGCACTGATCGATTTAATGACATACTGTTGGGCATCTGATCCAAACAGACGACCAACAGCTGAACAAATTGTCCAATTAACTAATCCATGGTGGTTGTCTTCAGATAGAACAATGTTATCAATGATGAATAAAAATGATAAGAAGAAATTCGACATTGATCATACTTCCCCTGTGAAGAAATCTATGAATGAACAAAAATTTGGTGGTAACACCACTGTCCACAGTTCTACCTTCACAGCAAATACTGCCTTGAATAGTTTCAGTTATATTCAATCAGTGAATTGTATTGATGCTTTAGATGTTATAACTTGTGCTTTGGTTGGTAAGTGAATGACCTTGCTCATTGTTTGAACTGATTCTCGACTTGAAACTATCTCTTTCTCTCCCTCCCTCTCTTTCCTTCGAGGTTCCTAATGGAACATTTGACTTGAAGCTATGGACTCTGAGTAGCGATAGTGTTGTTTTTTTGTAAAAACTTGGGTTGCTCACCTCAAGTTCAACCTTCTGCCATTTCCAGGCTATTTAAGAGAGTGTGTCTGCTGGGAATTGAACCCTGGGGTATGTGCGTGGCTTGTGAGAATTCTACCGTTGTCACCAAATTGAAACTAATCAGTTGCTATGGTGAAATAGGTGTACATTCATTTTCTTGAATCTATTATTCTGTGATCGTAATGACCAAAACTGACATGTTATGGTTTGAACGCAGGAAATCTTTATTATTATTATTATTATTATTGTTTCCTTTAATTCCTAGAGGAACATAGGGCTTCAGCCGTGCGTCTCCATTGCGTTCGGTTCTCTGCTAAAGTTTTCACCTGGCTCCATGTCTGCCCACACGTTTTCATCTCCTCTTCACATGACCTCCTCCAAGTCACCCTTGCACTGATGACCAGCTCGCCGCTTCCCTTTCGGTTTCCACTCGAGCAATAACTTGTCTAGTGATGTCACTTGATGGTTTCCTGAGAGTATGGCCAATCCATCTCCATTTCATCATGTTTATTTGTTTCACAATCGGTTCCTACCGGGTTGGTTCGCTCCCAGAGATCCCACCCTGTTGTTGATCTTTGCGTTCCACTATATAGTTGATTGAAACTTCCTGGAGTTACTCACAGTTACGAAATGCGCTAACGAAAGCAAAAAGACAGTTATTTGAAATAAAATCTACACCATTATCCGAAAATCATTATATATATATATATATGTACCTGTCGCCAATTTTAACATGACTGTGAATACACTTGCTAGCTGCGCAAGCGAATTTCCTATCTAGTCGATTCGCGAGCCTATTGTTCTAACCACTAATAACAATAACTATGAGAACATGATCCGATATCACCGAAAACGCGAAACAAGAAGGCAAGAAGAGAAGACAAACTGTTGATGTGGAGAGTTTTTACTGCCTCGTATCAACAGAGAAAATGATTGACACCGCTTGCGTATTTATATATATATATATATTCTTGTATTCGTTAGAATTACTTGTATTACTGATCATCCGATTGAACCAACTAAAGTGAAATGATAATAAATGACCGATCTGTCCACCGCAGTGGTTCATTAATGACTATATACACAGATAAACGCCTTCTGAATTGATACCAGAATACAGAATATATCTATTTATCGATACACGCATTATGAATGCTTTTCTTACAGTGAGTAAACGTACCATTGATAAATACTAAATCTCAAGTGTTGCTTTGTGCATTGATTCTACTGGTTACAGGTTTGTCGTCTCAGTTAGAGAACCAGTGAAAACAAATGAGTGAGTACTGGACAACTGTGTCGTCCTAATTTCGCACTTCGCTTTGGCAGTACCCATCCACCGGAGTTCTAACCTAGGGCCTTACAGTTACAAGTCAAGTCTACAGATTATCCAGCCACTGACACGCGATCCAATGTCCAGCCCATAAATTCCCGCATCTGCTAATTGGTGATTGTAGCGGGACCACTAGCCAATGTCATCGGCGATTATTTGTTCTCGCACCCTACCTGGCAACGCCCTTCCTCATCACGACTTCTCACCAAAACCACAGGCAATTTCTTTCCGTAGTGGGTCACTAGTGAGCATCAGATTGGTAGAAGTTAGAATTCACGGGACATTGAATGGTTTGCAAACTTTCCTTGCAATCTGAGAGTGCTCCATTCAATCTTCACTGAGTGCATACTTATGAAGAGTCCCTAACCAGGACGAAACACCTCTCCAGTACTCCTTTGTGGTTCTTGGCAGCTCTCTAACTGATATCAATCCATAATCAAAATTGAAATAAAACTAGTGAATTCAAGGAGATAGGCGTTAACATCATGATTTTAGGTTTTAAATTTTGAAAAAAACTGATAACTGAACTTTATCTCACGGAAATGTCTACGTTTTTCTTTGTATGCTGAATATCATTTTTCTCTATTGTTTTCATCGCTTTTTGTTTTACTAGATGAATACTATAACCTTTGGCTTGGCGGTTATTCAAAATCACCACTGTCATCATCATCATCTTCGTCAAATGACAGTAATGATGCTACCCAATCTATTCATCAACTTGGTTTACTGTTCATCATATCTCTGACTTTAGACGATGCCACCGCTTCATCTTCATCATGCTGCCTTTTATCCTCTTGGCCTACAGTTCCTGTAATAAAACAATATTCTCAAGGCTTTATCAAATATGAAACAATTAGTAAGGTGATCGATTGGCCAATTCATTTATGCGCATTGAACAATAATAATAATACTCGTAATAGGGATAGTCATTTGATGTCTTCCAATGAAGATATTGGTCATCCAGACAGACTGACAATGTTTGTGGCATGTTTAACGTATTTAGGTGAATTGAGAATTTATCGGTAAGCAAGAAAAATCGATTGGTAGTTTGTTTGTTTACACATTTTTTTAATTTTTTAAAATTTTGTTCCTTTATAAGTTAATTGGTGGATGGTGACTAGCAGTGGAATCCAAGATAACGCGCATTTCGTCCTAATTGGGACTCGTCATCTGAATGAGTGAGTGATGATGTTCCCACCGAGGCTCGAACCCAGTGCCAATAGTTTCAAACGCTAAAGCGTTATCCACTAGATCACTCGGGTCACGAGAGCCACCTTTTTCCCGTCGATTGATTGGACTGAACACTTAATGAGACTGAGCACTTCGCTCCAATCAATCGATGGAAAAATCTAAAATTGAATTGTTCCTTTATGTTCCCACTGGAACATAGGGCCTCAAGCTAGAGGCTAGGCTTGAAGTCTCGGTAGCAGTGGTGTTTAATTTTACAAGATGGGGTTACTAGCCTCCCGCCCAACCTTCTCTCTTTACCAGTCTTATTACTCACTAGCTTAGAGAGGTAAAGGAAGTGCGTTGATGGCCGGGGATCGGACCCCGAACCACATGAGGCGTGGTTGGTGAGCATTCCACCTCTGTGCCACCGACGCACTTGTGTACACATATTTTTTCATAATTTAACTTTCTTCTTCCCTAGTAAATGTCCAGTGATTTTTGAGAGAAGGATGAAAAAAATAAGATTTTATGATGTATTCCGATTGATGCTTGGCTTTCAAGGATTGAGTATTACATTGGAGGTTCGAACTATGCTCTACTCTCACAGAAAACTTGCACAGATTGAACGATAGACTGAATAACGTAGTTGACTCTGAGTTCAGTGGGTGAGGAGATTGATGGTATGTTAAGATCGTTGTAATGATGTGAATGAAGTTGGCCCTTTTACGCGTTAGTTGTCTGATGTGATAATAATAATATTGGTTGGAGGATTTCATTATTAGCTGACATCAGTTGGAGAACCACTGGAAAATCAGTCAGGGAGTACTGGACAGCTGTTTCGTCAGCCTAATTTGGAACTCCTCCACTCCAGCAGTACGCACCCACAACATGGGGTTCGAACCCAGGACCTCCTGGCTAGCGAGCTCGTAGACCATTAAGCCACTCATTGGGACTCGATCCAATGGCCAGTGCATGAATCTTAACATCTGCCAATTCATGATATAACGCGACCACTTCGCAATGTCTTTTTCGTTGAGTTAGCACCTCACCCTCAACCTGCTGTACCCTACTGGTGACGGCTTTCCGCTAGAACACCAGGTCACTGTCTGAGTAGGGCCAGTTGTTAGTGAGCATCAGATCAATTTTCAAGTATTGGTTTTGTAGTGGGTGCGTACTGCTGAAGTGGAGTCCCAGACTAGAGTGACGGAACAGCTGTCCAGTACTCCTTGTGGCTGGTTTTCTAATGGTTCTCTAACTGATGTCAGCGCTCATGATGAAATCCTGTTACTTTTGAATCTTGTTTTATTTCTTTATTTCACCATATTGTATAAACACTTTTTCATCTTTCTATGTTTGAATGTGACAGACCACAGTACAAAACTATGGAATATATATGTTTATTAAAAATACAATTATCAGAAGAATATACAAAACCTGACATCTCTACGCCAGTCAATAAAGAGTCTGGAAGCCATTTCCAAAGTGTTAAATGCATGCTTGCCTATCTGACAAGTAATTTTCATCCGCTTCACTTCAGTTATCATCGTCACCTCTCGTCATTATCACCAGCATCAACTTCGTCGACGTCGACGCCGCCGACGCCCTTGCCACCAGTATCTTCCATTGGTTGTATTCATTTTATCTTGTGTTTATCAGTCCCAAAAATTTGTATAATCAGCGTCAATATTTTATCTCCTCCCTTAGTATTGAAATGTATGAATACAGTTTGTATTAGTGTAGATCAACCTGTTTATACCGGTGTTATTCTTCCAGAAATTTGGTAAGTTCTGCTGATCTGTCTTTATCGTTAAATTTACTTGAAAAGACGTCAACTTATCCTCTTGATTAAGGAAAGAAAACTCGTGTGTGATGCGTGTAAATCTTAAAACAGGAGTTTGTATAAGATTCCATACTGTATGAATTAACAGTCATACCGCTATTATTAACCTGGTGTATGGCTGAGAGTCGGTAGACTTCGGTCTAACCCTCAAAACTCTGTCATAAAGTGCCCATGTGCCTTCACAGCCTCTTCTAGATAAGTTCTATTCACTTCCTTCACTCAGCGGCGTCTGAGGGCGGGGGGTTCCTCCCAAATGTGAAAGGGCGAATGCCAACGACTGGCGCTTACAGACGAACTGGGGGACCTACTGTAGGTCTACCTATGGCATAAATGGACTCCATAATCCGAATCTGGATCAAATGGCGCCTATGAACCTGTTTTGTTCATCAGGAACTATGAGGAAGTGGCTCCTGACGCTGTTCGACTGCCTTGTGGATTAGCCTTCAAGTCAAGGGTTCGAGGAGTGGGGTGTGATGGCTCCTTAAGGCACTCATCTGCTTCAGTCTAAGTAACTGGGCAGTGTTTCAGCCCTCTTACAACCTCTATGATTTTGTATGACTCATCGTTAGGTGTCCATAAGGTACCGAGTGTGTGTTTTAGTGAATTATAACCTCAGAATTGTAACATATTTTAGACTAAATGTTGTCAGAAACAATGTCCTGTCAATAGCAGTCAGTTAACATCAACACAATGGATTAAATACGTGGCATTAGTGTATACCTCATAGTAATTGATCAATGTATTCATTATTACAGTTCTACTGGAGGTTGTTCCTGAGTCGAAATAGCTCAATGGTAACTGAATGACGTCAGTCTGTCGCAGTGTGGCGGGTAAGTCGCCATCAGATACTTTCTGGAGAGTGCCAACTAGCATGATAGAAATAGTTTATCATGTCTTTCTACCGATTGTATGAATTTGACCAGATAACACATATAGTAAGCGGGAATGTGACTCAGAGAAACTACTGTTTCAAAGTTAAAAGTACTAGATCTTGGGAGGCGGGGGGGCGAGCACTGCACAGTTATTTCATCCTAATATCATGAATTGGTTGAACTTGGGATTTATGGACCATTAAACCCCGTGTCGCAGTCGCTTAATGGTCTATGAGTTTGCCTTCTTACATAGATGGTCCTGGGTTCACGTCCTGGTGGGCACGTACTGATGAAGAGTCCAAAACTAGGCCGATGAGACCGCTGTCCAGTATTCCTTTTAGGAATTCAGGAATAATAAAGGCAAGAATGTTACTTAACATGTAATTTATTAATCTACTGCAAATTTCCACCTGTCAGCCTTTCGTCCTCCTGTGAGTCTCTTCATCGGTACCACTCAGTTTAGTGTGAGTTGCTTATTTCTCTACACATGTTCATTTAGCACAAATTGAAAATGATTAACCAATGAATCCTAGCTCTTTCTGACTATCTGATCTGTAGTATAGAGCCAACAAAGTCAATTGTTAATAAAAGTGTGCAGTAGTGACCAGTTGGAAATCCTCTTCATAACTTGTCAAGTCCCCAATCCCTACAGAAGAACTGACTAACTTGATATTGGTGTTGAAAATCTGAAATTTGTTGTTTGAGCTGAGTTCAGAAGATTTCCGAACTGATTTCAGATGGATGATGGCTTGGTCTTGCCTTTTTTTATCCTGGTTTTCAAATCTTAATCCTCCTTGCTCGTAGTTTTTGAACGATGGTGGCTAGATAAGTACAGGAAGTGACCTATCTTGAATTTCTCCTGCTGATAAGTGATTAGTGCTTGTCTTTGTTGTCGTTGGTTGGTTATCCTTATCACCTCCGTTTTCTCTGTATAGAGTTGAAATCCTATTTTCTCTGCCAGTTTTCAGATTTTCGCCTATAAGTCTTCGAATTTATGTGACATTAAGTATAAGTCGTCCGCATAGTCAGGATCTAGAGTCCCCTTATCGATCCGATGAATTATTGTAATCTCTTTCTCATCACGGACTCTCTGCCACATAACCCATCAGTCCGCCATAATTAGAAATATTAGCGGTGGTAGTAGGCAGACTTACTTTACTTTACTTCGGCTATCTCCTACGGGAGGATGAGCCGGCTTCATGAACATCTCGAATCATCGCTGCCCAGGCGCGGCGATCTGATGCAAGGTTTTGCGACAGGGTTATCCAAGTAAGAGAGTTCATGAAGTTTCATGGGAATTTGGTACGAGTGATGTCCCCAGAATCGCTCGGCCTTTTGTTTGAGAGTGCAGCTCTAGCCTTTACACAACCAAGTGTGGCCTACAAGGCAGTAGGAGTGGAGTAGGGAGTCCACTATCCATTGGCAGCCGGTGGCCGGAGTTCGGTTCATACGCCATTTTGAATGGGGCCAGACATCCAGGACATCCAACAAGCCCTTTGTCCATACGTCTGCCGGTGAGCTCCAGTGAGCTTCATACGCCAGTCGTTGGAGGTTTGGAATCAGGGTTTAGCCATCTCCCCTAGACTGTCATCCAATGGACAGTCAACCCGGTGAAGAGCGCCGGGCATCCGCTTTCGCCCTCTCACTTTGGTGAAAAACACCTCCGCCACGTGAAGGCAGTGAGTAGGACTTCCTCAGGAGAGGCTATGTAAGACGCCCGGTCATATGGAGGCATTTCAAGAGGTGTGCGGAGGGGTGGCCAACCCGCAGCGCAAGGCACCCACCCGCGACCATCCTGAGGCTTTGGAGGCAGACAGCCTTATCTTAGTCATGCCTTCACCTCTCTGAGTTTTCCTTTGTGGATAATTTGATTTTGTGGCATTGTCATAAAGCTGTTGAATGAAATTGATGAAAATTTAAGTTACTTCATGCTGTTCAAGTAGTTTCTCGATCAACACTCCGCTGTTGAAGGCCTTTACAAAGTCGATGAAGTTGAGTTAATAGATTTGACGGCAATTCTATGATCTTTTCGACGATTCTGATATGTGCAGATGCAACTTGATCAGCACATGATTCTCTTTTCCTAAGTCCAGCTTGTTGCCGCAGACGGAGTTCTGCATCCAACACATCTTTTATTATCTCCAGGATGATATAACTTAATATTTGACTTGGCATCGACAGAAGAATGATTCCGCACCAGTTTTTTCAGAGGCCTTAGCCATCCTGCTTTGATAGTTTGATAAAATAACCCTTCTTTCAATAAGTAGATACCTTTCCTTTCTTTCAAGCTTTTTGAAATTAATGGCTTAAACATATCCTCTGCGGTCTCTGGATCCCTATTCAGCGCTTCAGGGAGGAATTCCGTTTGGTTCTACTGCCTTCCCGGCTGGCTTTCAATAGTTTGATTGCATTCAAGATTTCTGCTTTCGTTGGACCGATTGGTGTCCACTGACAGGCAGTTCTGTGCGTGCTATTGATTATTATTATTATTGTTCCCTTGGGTTCCTAGTGGAACATAGGGCTTCAACTGCACGCCTCCACCTGCTTCTGTCTTCTGCTGTACTTTTCACCTGCATCCATGTTAGTCCGTACTGTTTCAACTCCTCTTCACACGATCTCCTCCATGTCACCCTTGGACGTCCCACTCGCCGCTTCCCTTCCGGGTTCCACTCGAGCAATGGCCTGACAAGCGATGTCACCCAACGGCCTCCTCAGCGAGTGTCCAATCCATCTCCACTTTCTCCTGCATATTTGTTGAGCGATTGGTTCTTGTTTTGTTTGTTCTCATAGTTTCTTGTTGGTTCTTGTTCTTTCCGGCCATCTGATCTTCAGTAGTATAGAGCGAAGACAGCTGTTGATAAAGGTCTGCAACAGGCTGTTGGAAATATTCTTTGTGACCCTCCAATTTTCTGATCCGTATAGAAGAACTGACTTGACGTTTGTATTGAAAATCCGAATTTTGTTGTTGATGCTGAGTGACGAAGATTTCCAAATTGGTTTCAGGTTGCTAGCACCACGCCACAACCCTCCCTCTTTATCCGAGCTTGGGACCGGCTAGAAAACTAGTGAGCTAGTAATCTAGGCGAGGTTCGTGCTGTTGATGATTGAATACAAATGTGCTTCCCTCTTAGCCTTAACACTTTTTGCTTTAGGAAGTAGTTGATTGCTTGCTGCTAATGTTATATCGAAATAACAAGTTTTATATTTTATAAACCCATTTATTTAACTTCCTTTCTTTTATTTATTTTTTTTTATTGTCATTCGTAGTGGTTATGATGTCTGGTTTAGTCAAAATGGTGGCAAGCTAATGTGTTATACATGGGACAATGCTCTACATGAGACTGGCTATTCCCCCTCCTCGTCCTTCCCTTCATCCTTATCGAGTTGTCTTAAATATCGCTCATCCTGGTCTGTACCATCGTCGAGTGATTCAAGATCATCCTGTTTATTAGTGACTCATTTTCTACTTGAAAACTCGTCGCAAGTTGTCGTTAGCAACAAAGGTCGTTTAGCTCAAAATAACCGAAGACAGTATGAAGAGGAAGGCGTTTATGTTTGGACATATTTAAGACCAGGTTAGTTAGTTAGTTAGTTAGTTGGTTAGTCAGTTATTTGGTGTAAATGACAATTTTAATTCTCAATTTTCTTGATGATTAGTAGCATCTATTTATTATTTTATTCCTGTATGTTCCCAGTGAAACATAGGGCTTCAAGCTAGAGGCTTGAACTTTCAGTAGCAGTGGTGTTTATTTTTACGAGATGAGGTTGCTAGTCTCATGCCTTCCCAACTTTCCCTCCTTACCAGTCTTATTACTAGCTTAGGGAGGTAAAGGAGTGCGTCGGTGTCCAGGAATCGAACCCCGAACCACATGAGGCGTGTTTGGTTGTCATTCTACCGCTGTGCCATCGACGCACACATCTACCTATTATTTTATTTTATTCCTTTGCGTTCTGAGTGGAACTTAGAGCCTGAAGCTTGAGGTTTGAAGTTTCTGTAGTAGTGATTTTGTTTTCACTGGGAGGGGTTACTAGCCCTACGCCGAACCTTTCCTCTTTACTGAGCTTTCTGTCAGTTTAGATCGGTTTAGAATTGTTGTGTCGGCTGGGGGTCGAACTTCAGGTTACATCTGTGGTTGACGAGCATCTTACCTCTGAACCAGTGATGTACATGGAACCTATGATAGCGTTTACATAGATTCTTTGCTGTAGATGCCTTGATATTGACTCTAGTAAGTGAAACTAGTTATGTATTTAGTATTGATTAGGCAGTAGCGTGCAGCATGTAATCAGATTCCTTTTTCCTTATGACAAGATCCTATTATTATTATTATTATTATCTCATTGGATTCCGAGTGGGAAATAAAGCTTCAACAGCACATCGCCGTTTCACTTCGTTCTCTACAATACTCTTTGGCTGACATCACGACTGCTCATGAATGACTGACTGACTGACTGGTTTCAACACAGAAGTTTACACCGATGTGCAGCAGTTCGAGTCACTACACTCCATGTGGCACACAGCAAGGGAAGAAAGTAAAAAGAAATCCAAAATAGAGACTTGATATGATTATGAGCAATAATTTGTGCTCCAAACGTCATCAGTTAATATTACTGTACAACAACACTGTGATTTATCAAAATAAAATCCTATCCATAATGGACAAAATAGAGACAGTTAACAGAGGTTTGAGGCAAAAAGGATAGTAATGTCGAAGAACAATATAGTTTTATTGGGTATTATAAATCACACGGAGTGGATGCATCTGCGCCAGCCATTGAGAACGATTTTGAGCCATATCACCAATTGTTTCCAGCCTTCATTGGTTTCTACCGTCCGGATGACCCCAAATAGGAAGTCTACACCTCCCTACATGGCTTAAACTAACTGTTGTGGATTTCCTTGACTGATGAAGCCATGTTTTGGTTTCACCACCACTGGCTCTTTTCCAGGCTGATCGATCCTCTGTCGGTTAACATTGCCCGTTTTTGAAGAAAGCGATCGATGGCTAGGCTTTCTAACCATCTCAGTTGATGTAACTTCACAGCCTCGTCGATCGATTTCCCCTCCTTACCTAGCAGTCGACGCCTAACCTCAATATTGCTCACTATGTTATACCACTTAACATAGGAGATAGAACGCAGGCATCTATGATCAAAGACAGCTAGCTAGCCTTTTCATGTCTTCCACTCTCAATGGTCATGTCTCACAGCGACGACTACTCATAAGCTTTCATTACCTTCTCACACGATCTCTTCCTTGTCACCATCGAAGCGCCAACCAACAACTCTTCGTTTCCCATTAGGATTCTCTGGCGCATGATATACCCATCTATATTGCGTTCGGTATCTTTGTTGGGGAACAGGTTGTTGTAAAGGGAGAATACAAGACTCTTGGTAACGGTAAGTTTCACTCTTAAGATTTAGATATGACGGAGAAGGTTTGTAGCGCAGGTGGATGATTTTGACGTAGTTGTGTTCTGTGTGCTGGATGTCCTACTAGAAGGGCGATGAAAGCTTCGCAAATAAAGCGTTCAACTCAGAGAACACAACTGCATCACGAGCAGAATGCTTATAAGCAATTTAAGATACGCATATAGGGAAATCGCGTACACCATACATTAAAGTTGGCATCCCCACAAATCTTCCATGTTATGCTTCTTCCGCCCTTCGTATGGTGCTTCTTTGTCTTCTTTTCTTGTCTTCCATGTTTTATTGGAAAACTGGATCATTTACTCTCCTTGACGTCAAAGTTTTATGCTAACGGACATCTCTTTCTATACTATGTCAGTAACATACGCCACATTCGTCCTTCCGCCAAATAATTTCGAGCGGAGCAGCTCCGATCTTCTCGGTTTTACCAACCGGTTCTTGTTTTGCCTTGGTCTAAACTTCCTGATCCCAATCTATCCAACAATTTCTGAAGTTGGTTGGCGTTAATCTGTCCCATTTTATTTCCTCTTCTAAAGGTATAAACGGGACCACTTCTCTCGGTGACGGTGTATGGTCGTTCCCTGTTCTCAACTAACTGTATACTTTCTTTCTCGACAATTTACTTGATCGTTAACTTCAAACGTTATCCATTTCATCGTTTCTCTGTGTTCACATTTCGTGGCGCCCATCTGTTAGTTGATTCGTTTTCTGCTAAAGTTTATTGTAGTTAATCCTTTCTGGCTGGCCATCTGATCTTCATTATGGAGTGAAGGCCGCCTCTTAGCTGTTCCTTCTTTCAACCTGTTGGTTTTCGCCTGTAGAGATCTTCGTGTTTTTAGGACGTCGTGTACAGATCATCCGTGCAGTCCCGATCTTCTCAGGTCTCCTGGTTATTATTTTTATTATGCCCTTGGGTTCCGAATGGAACATAGGGAGGCTTCAACAACACATCTCCACTTTTTCCTATTTACTTCTGTCCTCTTCAAGTGGGTTCACAACTGCCCATAATCTTTCATCTCCTCCTCCAACTCACACGATCCTCTCCATGTCACCCTCACACCAACGATGCACTTGTTGCTTTCCACTGAGATTCCACTCGATTGATGGCCTGCATTACACGTGATGTCATTCGACATTCTCCTCAAAGTATGCCGTATCCCCATCTCCATTTTCTCCCACCTATTTGTTGAGCAGTAGGCTTTTAGTTGGTTTGTTGCTAGCCAGAGTTTCTTGTTGCCAATTGTTTCTGGCCGGCCGTCCATTTAATCTTCATTATGGAGACAGCGAAGGTAGCTATTGAGGAAAGTTTGCAACCTGTTAGAAATCGTTTGCGTTACACGCTGAGTTTCTGATCCTTATAAAAAGAACGACTTTATATTTGTGTTGAAAATCCGAATCTTCTTCTCTATGCTGGCTGAGTGACGAAGGCGTATCTTGCCTTCACCATTCCGGCTGGCAACCTTTGACATCTTCATCCGTTCCAACTGCCTGTGGTTTAAACCATACTTCCTGGCTGGATAAGTGAAAGAAGTAACCTGTGTCACATCTCTCCCGTTGATGGTGATTGGTGCTGGTTGTTGTTCCTGTTTCTGTTGGTTAGTTATCTTCATTACCTCCGTCTTCTCTATGTTCAACGTATTTCTGCTTCCCGTCTATCCCTGGTCTGTTGCACAATCATCAAGTGTACCACAGTCAGGAATATTAACTGTGAAAGTAGGCAGCCTTTAGTTGTTTATAATATTCTGTAGTCTAGAGAAGTTAAACTATAACGGTCAGTCGGTTGGATTTAACCACCAACATTGGACAAGTAATCAGATTTCAGCAGCAATAAAAGTCGCAAATTGTGGTGTTCTGAAATCCATTTATATTTCATAATACCTTCCTGTAACTATCCCAAAATCCCACTTCTCTCAAAATACCAGTTGGTTATCCTGTCAAGCTTCCTGTGGATATGCATGTTTTAGCATCTCCAATTAATTCCATTGATTCACACAGTAATCAAACATTCTATATTCATGAAACTACTACGTCACTACGTCGTTGTCGATAGGCACTTGACTTCGTGCAATAAATTTGCTAAAGGGATTCTGTCTGACTTGGAGCATCCACTTCACCCTCAACTTTCACCTTACATCTCCTCAGGTAGAACAAGAAGTAACTTCAGAAAACTGTATGCTCGCACATCTAAGTATAAAATTTCTATGATACCATACTTAGCACCTTTTTTATGTGATGAAAATAGCGTCAGGCAAGAATTGACTAACCTTTTTTCATCTAGTAAATAAACAATCTCCTCCATCCATCTTCATATACCTTCAAGTTTTACTTTTATTATTTCTATTATATTTATGGTCCTGTTGATTCTTTGTTTTCACTTTCATAACTGCAAACACCAACTTATCTCTGTGACTGCTGTAATTTTTGTTTTTCCCCTCACCATATCATGTAAACAGAACATTATATTCAATATTTTTAATCATGCAAGGATTTGTGTACCACATCCACAATACTGTGTGAAACAAGCCCACTGCAATTTCCACTTGTATTATTACTATTATCATTACCTTAGCTGCTATCATTATTATTATTATTTCCATTTTATATGCTGCATGTTTTCTTTTTTTGACATTACCCCTATTGTAAATGTTGAAAAATTTTCTGTGTGATTAATTTTATTTATAATTTGAGGAAATTAGATGCAAGATATTGTGATTAATGCTGAAAATTCTATTCTGTATCACAAGTACTGTTTTTGGAATAAAGCAAATCATTATTATTATTATTACTATTATTATTATTACTATTATTATTATTATTATTATTATTATTATTATTATTAAGTGCACTAAATCTTTATCAAACTCATTCAACAGCCTTAAATTGATGACTCATGTGGAGACATTCATACTAAAAAGTCAGTGATGCATTTGACGTGGATTATGATGGACGACTGGATTATACGGAAGACTTACAGGCGAAAACCAACAAGTTGGGATAAGAAGCAGACAGCGAAGATGGGACTTCAAGTTAGCATACAGAAGACGGAGGTGGCGGAAGTACCCACCGACCAGCAACAACAACAACCAGCACCAATCACTTTCAACAGGCAGAAATTTGAAAGATGTCACTCCTTTCGCTTATTTGCGCACAACCGATTCAACTACAGGCATCCCAGACGGATGAGGATGTCAAAGCCACATTTGGGGAGGGGAGGCAATACAGGCCTTCATCACTCTGAAATCAATTTAGAAATCTTCTGCACTTAGCCAGCATAAATAACAAAATATGGATTTTCGACACTAATGTGAAGTCAGTCAGTCAGTTCTTCTATATAGTTCAGAGACTTGGCGCGTTGCTTGAGGCATTTCCAACTGCTTGCTGAAGACTTTTATCGACAGCTGCCTCCTTCACTGGTTCCACACTGAATATGCAGTGACTGGCTGTCCAGAAAGAAACAAAAAACTTTGGAAACGAACCAATCCAGGAGCTATTACTTAAGAAATATCCCGAAGAAACTGAGGTTGGATCGAACACATCCTGAGGAGACCGTTAGGTGACATCGCGCGACAAGGAAACCCTCTAGTGGAAGGTGATTGAGGAACGATGAGTTGCGCGTCACTCCAACGGTGACATGTGTTATGAGGAGAAAAAAGCTTATGGGCGATCGTTGAGCCAGCTAAAGAGGCCTGTAGAGAACATGGTGAAGTGAAAGTGTGCTGGTGTGAAGCCCTCTGTTCCACTCGGAACATGAAACAAACCGTTAGTGGAAGTACACATTCTGTGTGAACAAAAACATTCACAGAAATGCATATGCACATACACAAAAAGTTGATATTTCAACGTGTATATGAAGTTTTATACTATTTCAAAATTATTCTGTTCGATTTGTTGTTCTTTGTGTGGCTTTTGTTATAACTGAGCTGCGCTGAATTAATCCGTCGCTACTTTGTTATGTTTGCTCCTGTTAATTACTATAATGGTAATGAACTCGAATGGTACGCTGATACGTCTATTTGTCTGTTTGTACCTTCCAATTCACTGAACCACACAAATATCAAAAGATACAAAGGCTGGCTGGCCTGTGACTGTAAGATATTGTATTACACATCCATTAGGAAACAAAACATCCTATTTATATATTTAATTTATCACAATACATTTGGCTCAAAACCGTGAGAATGGACTGTTCTTATTGGCTGGGAATGTCTATTCTGCTTGGTTGGTGATCCGACAAAGACCAAGATGAGACAAAAGACAACGTATTGATCTCTCACACACTAAATCACAATATGCATGAGAATTGATACATTCACATAGTAGTAACTCCATCACAAGCTAAACCACAAGATTCATGAGAAAGGACGATATACTATTTTATGTTGGATCTTATCACTATTTAATTCCGGTTTCTCTAACGTTTTCTTAAATTTTAGACGGCAGATTAGACTGTTGGTCAGTTGCTACACAGAATCTAATGAAAAGTATCAATTTAGCTGGTTATATAAACCAACCCGGTACACAGGAAGTGTCAATGTCAGGTAATATTCACTAATTATAATAGTAATAATATACTTTTCAATTTTGCCCACGGATTGATATCAGTCAGAGAATCATTGAAAACCAGCGGGGTCGCACTCAAATGACGAATTGCTAGAATTTGGAATCTATGAGCTGGCTATTGGACTGTGTCCCAGTGCCGTAATTGTCTACGAACTGGACTTTTACCCGGAGGTTCCTGGATCCGAACCCCGGTGGGTGCTAACTGCTGAGGCGAAGTCCCAAACTAGAAGGAGACAGATGTCGAATACTCCATCATTGGCTTACATTGGTTCTCCAACTGATATCAATTGATTGTTTGTGTGGAGGGATTTGATTAGTTTCAGGATTTCATCAACGGACATCGGTTAGAGGACCATTGGAAAACCAGCTGGGAGTACTAGACAGCTGTTTCGTCCATGATAAAATCCTGAAACCAATCAGATCTCTGCAAACGAAGACTTGAATATCAATCTGCCCTATTCATTTAGGTGGTTGCCTGGGTTCTAGTGGGAATTTATGGCCAATGACGCTCAGCAAGTTAGGTATCAGGACAAATACTCGCCAGTTGCGCTATATCGTGAATTGGCAGAAGTTGAAATTCATTGGGTCTATCAATTTAGTCCCATTTACTGCATCAACCCACCTCTAGGATGTTGCTTACAAGAGTGGAAAGGCGAGTGTGAACCTCTGGTACTTACAGCTGGACTGTTAGACGAATGACCTACGAACCTATTTTTTTCACCAGAAACTATTGGGACGCAAATTCTGATACTGCTGTATTCCCTCGTTGATCAGACTTCAAGTTTGAGGCTCGAGGGGTGGTTGGTCGATTAGGGAAACTGCGTGTTTTGGTCTGAGAGAGCGTCTGAACAGTATCCCAGCCGTCACATAAACTATGCAATTATGCGTGGCACATCAAGTTTGCGATGTGGCCACCATTCTAAGTAGCTTTTCGTCACGGTTATCTTTGAATTGCTGTTACTATACGGTTGAAGGCACTCGGCTTGGAATCCTACCTAAACATAAGTTTTGTGCTTATTTGGCACTGACCAGTTAGTCGACAGGGTGTATCCGGAATCTTGAAGGAACTTATATCCCCTTTCTGACATTCGAACCCTCTTCGCTCAGTGCTGCAGTCAGAGCCACCTAGAATGGTGGTCACATTGCAAGCTCGACTGATAGAATTCAATCTACATCAAACAATGGACCAGACAGACGCATGACACTGGTTACTACATCCTATCCAGTCAAAGTATCCATTGCAGTCCTACCGGAGGTGACTCACAAGCCTGAATAGCTCAATGGTAATGCCTTTGACTGCAGCTGTTGGTGACACAGGCTCGAATCTCAGAAAGGACATGGGTTCCTTAAAGATTCCAGACACACCTTGCTTATTTGTGAGCTGTAACAAGCAAGTAACCTAGGTTTAGGCAGAGCCTCCTGCTGACTACCTCTAACCATCGAATAAATACACTGTTTAGAATAAAGCTATTATTCCAGTATTGGTTTGTAGGGATTTGATTGATTGGTTACAGGATTTCATCAATAGCTGACATTGGTTAGAGAACTATTGCAAAACCTGGAAGTACTTGACACCTTTTCCGTCCTAGTTTAGGACTCTTGAGCAGTACTTAACCCAAGCAGCTTTAACCCAAGACCTTCTGATTACAAACCGGGTGTGAGGACAAATACTCACCGAAGACATTGGCTAGAGGTTGCGCTATATGGTGAATTGGTAGAAGTTAGAATTCATGGGCCATTGGATCGGGTCCCAGTGGCTGATGAATGGTTTACGATCTCGCTAGTCTTGTAACCAGAAGGTCCTGGGTTCGAACCCCGGTGGGTGCGTACTGACGAAGAGTCACAAACTAGGACGAAACAGCTGTACAGTACTCCTTGTGGCTTGTTTTCCAATGGTTCTCTAACCAATGTCAGCTCATGATGAAATCCTGCAACCAATCAATCAAATCCCTACAGACCAACACTTGAACTGTTTAATTCATTTTGAATTCCATCTTTTTATACTTCATATATGTTCATATTTGTTGCCCTCTTTTTTGTCTTTTTCTCTCTAAGAAATGTTTGGTTCAGTTCGTGCAATGGAATGGCTTAACTCTCCAACAAATGTTCTACTGATCACAACCAATGGCTATTTATTGCATATCAATGTAACACATATCAATACTGTCAATAGTCATAATATTCATAATAATAACTCATCGTTAGCTGTGGCTAGTGACAGTGAGAATAGTTCATCAAATCTTGCAAATCACCCATCCACACCATCACCAAAGTCGTCATCATTAGCGTCATTGTCAACACTCTTCGATATTCATTCACTACATTATCATGGATTGATGACAGATAACGATTTTGTTTTAATTGTTCCACTGACCTTGAAATCAAAAGAGCGGTTGAATCAAACATCAACGACAGAAGCGGGAAAATCATCATCTATGCCTTATATACCAAAGCGTATTTTGACTATAGCCAAAGGTTTTTTAAACCCTTTATTGTGCGTAAATCCCTTAGCGTCTTCTGTTGCGTCGTCGACTTCTTTCAATGTAAATACTATCCATACAGGTAACAAATACACTAATACGTCTATAAGTAGTCAAACAGAGAAGACAATAGAGAATCTGAATCAAGAAAAATATTATTTAGTCAAATTATTCAATGATAAATTTTTATTCTCATAAAGACAGTTTTTACTTTTTCTGGTAATGCTGTTTTTTCCAAGATTTGTGTACATAATCTCGTCTTCCAGTCATCACTTAATCTATTTCTGTTTAAGTCTTTCCCTCTGCCGTCTTTTAACCATGAATTTTTATATACATTTTGTACTTGGACATCTCCGTTTTAGATAGCTACAAGAGATTAATCATTATTTTTGTTTTTATTATACTTCATCGACATTTTTTACCCCAAAGGTGGTGGATTTTTTTACGAAAATAATTATATTACTAATAGTAGTACGTTAACTCTCTAGTCGAAGTTTTTTGTTTTAAAAATCTGTGATACAAAAGTTATATTATTATATAAATATGCAGAAATGTTGTTTATTTTTGAGATTTGCTGGTGGATATCTACACCTCATTTACAATCGTGTTGGATATGGTACGCATAATAACGGAATCATAAACGAGAGTGGGGTTTCTGGCGAGATAGTTGCTTGTTAGTCTTGTGAGTAACTTATCATCTCAAGCCACACACTCCATTTAGAGATCCACTGAAAACCAGCAGGGAGCCCTGGGCGGTTGTTTCGTTCCTGTATGGGACTCTTCGTCTGTGCACACTTGTGATACCACCAAAATGACCGGAATGCAGGACCTTCAGTCTACGAGGTGACCTCGTTGCCCAGTTAAGCCAATTTTCTGTGAATTCGCTGATCAGAGCCCAACTGCCAGTGTTATAAGTTGGCACTTCTTCTAATACCTTACTAGCCGGACCCCGACGGTGATGACTAAAACTTCAACTTATAGCCATTCACTAGTGGGCATCACATTCTGATGTAGCAATGCGATGACGTGGACTACAAGTGGTTTGTAGTGCAGTTGGCAGCAACAATTATGACTATTTCATGGCAAGCATTAGATGATAATGTAGAACAAGAAGAGGCTGAGTCAAAATAAATCATATTTAGTTCGCCAGTTAGTTACGCTGCTTGACCGACTTCAACCTCGTTTTCTCTTGGCTACAACTAGAAATAACGCTCATGATTGTTTTGCGGCCATCTGTCCTGTTAGGCCTGAGCTTTGACAGCACTATCCGCTGACTGTGCAGTCTGGCCCACCTAACCTGATGGCCAGGCTGCTCTTAACACCAGCCTGACTAGCGAACCGAGAACATAACAGTTGTGGCTGTTAAATGAGGCCCTTATAAACGATGGTATGAAGAGTATACAGGGTTACACGATCACACTAAAGCACAATAGCTGTGCTCTTGTTCGTTGAAAATTCAGTAATCCTCAACCTGACTCATTCAGCACAGATAAACAAATTGGCAGCTGAAAGTGAAATGACTGGGATTTATTTGAACTGGAAAACCTCTTTGGTCTGCCACTTGACAGGGAGTGGATATCTGTAAAAAGCTTAACTTCAAATAATCATCTGAGCTAAGTAATTGGCGAGGTAAGTAGCTGTTAGTTAAACAAAAGATTTGACAAAGGAAAGTGGGTTTTGTTAAAATTCATTAACAAGTTGTTGCTACCAGAAGAAATATTTCTTGAGTCTTACCTGCCGCCACACACAAGTTTAAACAAGATACCATTTCACTTGTAGCAAGATGCACATCAGTCAGGAGGGTGAAACAGTGGTAGCGAGGATATTTCCTTTGCATCAATAGCTACATATATCCGGTGCATAGGGAGATAATTGCATCTGGTCCTTCTTATGTCAATCACAGATATCAGTACCACTTACTTAAAAGCAATTTAATGCGGATCTTTGCTAACACTTGTGAAGATACCGACATAATGGTATTACTGTAATCAGTGCTTTGAGCTAATCGTAGAATATAAACCAGTGGGAATAGCCTATCCTGAAGACAGACAATGATAATTGTGACTACTAGGATAAGTACATAGTGACGAAGACAATTCACTAGAGTAAATATGAAAAGAAAAAAACCAAACTTTTGATCCATCTGCTCCCATTTGGCTTCAGAATTTACCACTTCTATAGAGGCTTAGGTGTAATCAAGCATAGGAGAAGGTCAAGTTTGGATAAGCTTGGTGAAATCCTAAAGAAGAAACGAGACATCAGAGTCGGTTTGCACGCTAGCAGTCAGTACAGAGCAGAACTAATCGAAAATGAGGTACTAACATGACTTGTGAAGTTAACTTGCCGTTTCTGAACTTGATTATTATCATAATGATCATTTATATTCGTTCCTCGCCTTCCGAGTGAAACACAGGACTTTAGCACCATATCTCTCTACTTCATTGTGCTCTCTGCTGTGTTTTTCAGATGATGGCATGTTTTCCATAGGCTTTCATTTCCTCTTCATATGATTTCCTCCATATAATCCTCGAAATGATGCCAAGTTTGTACTTCCACACTCAGATTTCATTTGGATGTCTGGTGGGTGGGGCCACTCAGAGATCTTCTTGGCATTTGTCAGCCCAGCTCCATTCCCGTCCACTTATTTGTCGGGTATTAGAGTGTTCATTTGTACTGTGTCAAAGTCCCTTGTTTTGTATCCACTCCGACCAGCCATTTAGTATCGTACAGAGGAGGCTGTTGCTACTAGTCTGAAGCATGCCGGAGATGCTTTCCTTTAATCAACCTAGATGGGCTTTCTTCAGTTCTTATATGCGAGACGAATTTGACGCAGAGGAAAAGGTGGATTTAGCAACACAGCATGGAGCGTGAGGCTCGGAGAGGTTACTGTTTCCTGCCATTTTTAAAAACCAGATTTATTCCTGGCTAAAACGTGATCCAGTGATTAATCATTGCATGCCACCAGAATTCTCAGGAAAAGAAGCTTTGAGTAGCTTCATGTAAAAGTACCTGATTTTAGTCAGTATTCAGTCATGTGGATTTCCTGCAGTAGCACCTAAAACCTGAAAGATAGGTCACTCCAAATTATCTCAAATTTAAATTTTGTGGAACACCCCTGAGATACGTCGCAAAAATTTTACCACATGCTAGTGAAAGATTGTCAAAGAGAGTTCTCACAAGATATGTGGAAATCACCATTTCTGATTAACTGTAGTTTAATCATCTTGGTCCCCATGGAACAGAAAATCTGAACACACGTATCGACTACTAAAAAGATGCGACTGATGGTACCTCAACCACCTACTGTGCAACCACGGTACCCATCAAGCTGCATAAAATGTACAAAGAGATTCACCAGACGTTTCTTAATATTGTTGAGTGTTCAATGAACAGCGCAAATTTTTCGATTGTTCGAACAAAATGGGGTCAAGGGCATAAGTGAGTTAAATCCACAATTGTAGCGTTATAGGTAAGTCGATAAAATAATAATAATGTATTTCATATAAATTTACAAATTTACATGAAAATGCATGCCATTTTTACAGGCACGATCAAGTATGATATAATATCAAATCGTAGATTGTCTACAAGTTAATCGTATTTCAACTGTTAAATATTCGATACATATAATACACTCATTTTCTGAATTAGGCCGTATAGTTATTGAATTGTACAGTTGTCCTCCAGGTTGAGCGGGAAAATCGACTTCGTTCCGTTTTCATCCCGTGGTTGTAGGCATACGATAACCAACCAATATTGAGGTAAGTACACCTTTTACAAGGGATTGGAATCTGTTTTAGAAAAATTAAAGTGCTGAGGTGAATCATTAAATTGTAATGAAATAGGTAAGTGCAAGTATCATTAATAAATGCATTAATAAAGGAAACACCCTAGGGTAACAACATTCATTTGCAATGTATAATGCTACAGATATATCACAAACTATCATGATATCCACTTTTGGTTTTAATACAATTATCCTCATGCCAGTTGTTTTTATTTTATACCTTTTTGTGCATTTAGTGCACAACCGTACCCTTCAGAGAGTAGGAGTATAATAAGTAATGAAGAGCTATAAGATGTTAAGTTTAATGGAGTAAAATGAGGATCAAGTAAAGACGTTGTCAGAAAATAAATGAGATAAGACATTGTGGAGTGGTATGAAAAGATCTGACGATAGACAGCAAGTTAATTTATAAGATGCCCCATAAATCTGAGCAGATCCCACATGGTCGCATCTCAACAATAGGCTGGGTGAATGGTATATATTTAAAGGTAGAAGCATGATCTGTCAAGGCGTTCATTGTTATCTTTTTCAAGATAAAGATTTAAGCCCTCATAAAAATCAGAAATATCTCGAGCCTTCAAATTTTTTAATGCTGTTCCTGCAGAATGGGGCGATTCACCTTAGTGACCCCCACCATATCTACTGATCAGCTAACTCCACCCTCCCACCTTTTTTGATGTTAGGCTCTGAGACTATGATTATTATGGTTACCGCAAATATATTGCTTGGTACCAGACATGTTCGTACCCCATATTCCATCTCCCTAGCTTTCTTAATGAGTGCTTCCAATAGGTCCCCGCGTACATCTTTATGAACATATTATATATGTATGCATGCGTCCTAATGAACAGATTACTTTATAAGAAGTCAAAAACCTTGAAGAATAACAAGAATAGGTTTTGTGAATAGTGGAGCAAGATTCAGCAGAACAATATAGTTAGGGTTCAATATAGGTAGTATGAACTGAAGGTAAGGTCGGTTGGCAGGACCAAGTGTACTAAATTATCATGACAGTTTTATATATAGTAAACATTTGACATTGCAAAGTAACCTGTCTACATATATTATAAAAAGATATTAGCAGAACCAACAAAATTTCAGCATTTGGTTAACAATACTACAGAAAGTTAGTGAGTCTTACAGGTAGCCGTAAAGTAAATCAATCTATGTATAATAAGAGTGTAATCAGTGTTATAATTCGTATTATCAAAGAATACATTAGGCTCAAAAACTGAATGTTATAAGGGAAATAAGAGTGATAAACTAAGAGAACATTTGCTGCGTAAGTAATCATTTTAAGTATTTTAATGATAATCTAATTTCAAGTATTGAACATGCATAATTACTAAGTATTATTAGGTTAGTCTAGGAACTAGTGTACTGTCTGTAGTTAAATATTGAAATGTCATGGTTTCACCACTCTACCAGCAGTTGAGATCATTTAGAAGGGCTAGGGTGGACATGTTAATATGTTTTTCTAGGCTCCTTTTGAAACTGTCAGGCCTTTCACAGGATCTAATCTCAGAGGGTAGTTGGTTCCAAAGTTTGCAATATTTAATGGTGAAGAAGTTAGCTCTAGTGGTGAGCTTATGGGTGTTAACCTTGAGAAGGCAGTTATGGTTGCGTAGTCCATACGATTTAGGATTAGCCCAGGTTATAGACGAGTTACTGTTACAGTGCTTTCTTATAACTTTGAATAAGAGAAATAAATTGCACTTCACTCTCCTTAACCATAAGGGTTCTAAGTCCAGTCGAATACATCTGTCAAGG